TCATATAATTAATTACCGCGGCGCGCACGTTTTTATGGCTAAAGGCTAATAGCGGTGGTTTCTTTTCTAGCTAGGAGTTATGGATCGGTCGCTCTTAGAGCCGGCTCTTTGAAGCAAACAACGGGAGCATGTTTCTTATTGAGAGCCGTGTTTTCTCTTTCTCTCACTTTTTCTCTTCAAGACGCTTGTAGACCCATAGTTTGACAGCAGCAGCGTCTGAAAACGAAACTTTTAGAAATCTGCGTGTGCATAGGATAAAAAAAAAAAAAGTGCATGTTTGGCTGCAGTTCAGCATAAAATGAATAAACCAGGACTAATCTTGGGCTCGAGCGAGGGAGAGACCGAGTCCCGACACTCAGTCCTGGTTCAGTTCTGGTTTAGTCCTGTTTTACACATGGTTTAAATCTGTTTTAGTCCTGGTTTAGTCCTTTTTCAGTCCTGGTTCAGTTTTGGTTTAGTCCTGCTTGCAACAAAACAATCTCAAGAGTCGCTTGGGAGCCGAAAGAGCCAGCTGCTTTAGTGAGCCGAGCCAAAAGAGCCGGTTCTCAAAAAAAAACTGGAATACCCATCACTAGTAGCTAGAATGTGATGCAAAAATGCCATTAGACCAACCTACTGCCTGTAAATATGATGTAAAGAGGCAGAATAACAATAAATGTTGCCTAAATAAACCCAATTTAGAATCCACAAGAGCCAAACCTAAGTTTTTTAAACAATTCAAGATTTACAATGAATTTTTACATCACTAAATATATCTGCGATTATATCGGCTATCGGCAGCTCCAACTCCCATTATATCGGTTTCATATCGGCCACAACAAAATCCATATCGGTCGGGCTCTACTAATGCTCCCAAATCCTGTAGGAAGGAGGACAATAACATCTTTCCCCTTGGTGTAATTCACCAAACATTCTCTTTGCTCCGGCGTTAAATCCTCGCTCTTGGGAATCATTGCCAACACTGAATATATGGCTCTTCGCTGATTGGCTGGTGCCCGAACTTGCACTTCTGGGGTTTTTGCGAACCGTCTAGTGTATTTTGATTCCTGACCTAGTCACTGGAGAGAAATGGAATTGAATGGAGGCACTAGGTGGCACCAGTCTGGCTAGGCTGACATCAGCTTGTGGGAGGAGCATTAGACAGAATCTTACAATCAACCATGAAAACGGTTTGAATAGGGCCAGGGAGAGATCACTAGATTACTCAAAGATGCATGGGTGACTCTAAAACCTCAGGCATGTTTCTGATGTGGGAACAATGGTATAATATGGGAGAAAGCTCAAAAACAATTCTATTACAAGCAAAGTTGCCTAAATGCCTATGTGTATAAATATCACTTTATTAAACCTGCATTATTCTCTTCTGTCTCTCTCTCTCCAGAGCACAAACGCTTGGCCCTACCTCATGACATCATCAGGTGGTAATCCATCCATTGAATCATTCACACCTCTGTTCACAGCTCATTTACATATCAGTGCAGGTCCAGTAACGAGTCTACAGCCACTATAGTCACTTAACACTAGGCTGGTGTAAGAAAACAGACTGTTTATGAGTGGGAGCTACAGCAGCGAAGAGCTAAACAATGAGAATGAACAAAAAGCAGCTCCAAAACTGACACATTTGCAACACACACACCACTCACACACAGACACAGGAGAGCCAGAGGAGAACCAGAGGAGGACCAAAGGAGAATCAGTGGATAACAAGAGGAGAGCCAGAGGAGAACTAGGGGAGACTCAGAGGAGAGCAAGAGAACCAGGGGAGAACAAGTGGAGAACCATACACGAACCAGAGAAGAATCAGGGCAGAACAAGGGGAGGCCAGCGAGAGGAGGTACTGACAGAACCACAAGACAGCAAATCCTCAGTGGGTACAATCAGAACACTAGAATAATCCAATAACTCAGTTAGAATCACAACAGAACCAAAATCACAATCTGAACAGATGCAATTAGCAAATCAAGAATCCTGCAGATTCTGAAAGTCCATCTTTTCTTCATTTCTGCATAAACTGTTAACCCTGTAGTTTAAATCTTTACAAACATATTGTGATGTGGGATTTTTGTAATAGTTTATAGTCTGGATGCGTTCAAAATGTGAATTTTGTACAAAATTATATTATTAAAACATCATACATTGCAAATCGCAATCACAAGTCTTACAGTGTTTTCTTTTTATTTACACAAAGCTCTTCTGTTGTTACTTGAGAGATAAAAAACAGCTACGTAACACATTTGGATCAGTTTTGTTTTCAAGCTCTGTACTGGTATCGCTTGATATCAAGCATCATAATTCGGACGGCAGAAGCTCAGTTGGTAGAGCATTTGCCCACTGATCTGAAGGCTGGTGGTTCAAATCCAGCTCTCAACATAAACATCACAGGTTGAGTGGTCAGATCCACTGACCTACAGGTTGGCTGATGTGATTCAAGCTCCCACAGATGAATGCTGCTGTTGTGTCCTTGGGCAAGACACTTAACCCACCTTGCCCACAGTCCATGTGAATGGGTGAATGGGTGAATGGTTCCTTGTTGTAAAGTGCTTTGAGCACCTTGAAGGTGGAGACGTGCTATAGAAAAATGTGACCATTTACCATAATTGATCAGAACTGAAAAAGCTGGTTTGGAGCATGCTTAGCAATTTAATTCATTCCTAATTCCTAATTAATTGTAATCCTGATCATAAACAATTAAGTACAGGTGGAAGAACATCAGCAAATAGTTCACGCAATCAATAAAATGTAAAAATATAAAACAAAATATATTTATTTTATCTGGACTCTACAAAAACATATGGAAAGAGCTTTTTATAACAAAGACAGTGGTATAATTCAACGTCCCAAATCACACAAAATAGATTCTTATGAAGGTTTATGTAACCTCATCAAAAACATAACCCAGAGTTGTGTTTTATTTCATTTACACATGTTTGAGTAACTCTTTATTATTAGTTGTCTACATCTTCAATGCTCAAAATGCTCAGATCCACCTTGTGATGTCACGGAGGGGTAGTTTTCAAGTGAACAGCTCCTTTTACCTTTAGTTCAGTAGAGATTGGCAACTCCAGAGCTGAAATAATTCAAATTATTCTAGTGTATGGCAATTATAAACACAGTGGAGCACTTCCTGTATCACCAGATGACATCACAAGGTGGAACAGAGCGAGAATTCAGCCTAAATGTGCAAGTTTGTGTGTTAAACATGTGTGAATAAAACAAAACACAACTGCAGGTCTGTTTGTGACGAGGAAACATTAACACATCGATCAGAAAAAAGCACACTAAACATGTTTTGTTTTGATCACTTCACACTGTGTTTAGAATCCTTCCATCTCCATATTTCACTTTTATTTGTTTAGAAATGTGTTTAAAAAGTGTTTGACTAGTGGACTATTCAGAACATTAAAGGCATGTGGTTTGGTCGAGACATTGACGTAGGATATTGTGCCACTACTACTATTCCAACTTTGAAGTACAGTGGTGCAGGAATGTTGGACGTGTACAATAGGACTATGGCTCTTGGGCTATTAATTCCTCAAAGCATTTTACCGCTACTACTTTTACTACTACTACTACTACTGCTCGCTTACTACACTAGTACTACTTTCGACGTACAGTGGCATGGTAACATGAGAGGCTGCAAGTGCACAATAGAGTTAAGACTAGTATGACTACTTTTTCTATGCATTTACAGCTACTACTACTACAGCTAGTACTATTACTACTACTATTACTACTATTACTATTATTACTACCAGCTGAAGTTGTTTTAAGTACAACTTTGGACACATTTAAGTCAGCTTACAAAAACTTTACATCACACAATCTCTCCTTTCATTAGCGTCATATCCATCTGGAGACGACCAGGACTACTACTACTACTAGACTACTCACACTACTACATGTACTAGACTACTCACACTACTACATGTACTAGACTACTCACACTACTACATGTACTATACTCACACTACTACATGTACTAGACTACTCACACTACTACATGTACTAGACTACTCACACTACTACATGTACTAGACTACTCACACTACCACATGTACTATACTCACACTACTACATGTACTAGACTACTCACACTACTACATGTACTAGACTACTCACACTACCACATGTACTAGACTACTCACTACTATATGTACTAGACTACTGCAAGGGCACACAGATGCAGTAGAGTATTACAGGGGGGTCTAAAGTGTTTTCATGAAGGGTCAGTGAAATATAAATCACGTGGAGGGCCACAGACTGATGCTCAAGACCATGAATCATTCAAAAAAAAAAAATTTTTTTCCTGAACTTTTAAAAAAAACATCACAAATGAAGTGAGAGTCAGACCCTCCAGAGCAGGTCCGCCTCACAACAGAGTGCAGAGTTATTTCAGGGACAATAGCAGAGTATTTAAAAATAGCTCTATAAAGTTCTTCCCAGGATAATGTGGAGTAACTCACCAGCCGAAAAAACTTGGGACACTCGTGGTTTATTTTTACTTACACACACTTACAACTAATTCATACTTTGATAATAGTAACAACAACTACAAGCTTCACACAATTAACAATAAAACAACACAAGAGCAGTGAGTAATAACTGTGTAGTAGATCACAGTTACGTGTAAAACCACATAATAAAGAAGGATCAACACTACAATCTTTTCTCACAGAGATCTAACTGTTAATATTTAGTTTTCAAACTCACACTGTCGGGATTCAGGTTCAGGTTAAACCGGGTTACAAATGGACTTAATCTGAAGGAATTAAAAAAAATTGTCATTTTCAAACAAAGACCTCCCTCCTAATATTTGCTTTTCAAACTCACTAGGATCAGACTTGGATCAGGTTAAACCAGGTCTAAAATGATCTAAATCTGATGACTAACCCTGAACTGTAAGATTACAATCCACCAAGACTAAACAAGGTCTACAGAAAGTCACAAACCAAAACTGGACTAAAGATAAATGAGAGAAAACCCCACATGAACTCTCTTACCGTCTCTACGCGCTCACAGAACGTCAACAAGGTGTCACTCCGCGATAGACTCGTGGAAAAATACGCGTCCACTCTCCACGTCTCCAGAGCGGGACCAGTGCCAACCAAAGTCCAAACAGCTTGGCTCCTGCGCTCTAAAAGTTGCGGACTTGGTTTGGAAACGTGTCCGGGTAGAAGGCGGTGTTACCTGGGAGCGCGGGGAAGCGTCAGGTGGAGAGGACGAGACGCACACACACACACACACGCAGACACGAGACAGAGCCGAGACTGGAGCGGGAGAGAGAGAGGAGCGTGTGCGTAAAACCCTCACCGCGCGTCAGAGCGGGCGTCAACGCGGGAGAAGAGGAGGAGCGGTTCCGGGAGGCGCTTTCAAAATAAGAGCGCGTATCTCTCAATTTACACGTCCTTTATTACGCGAAACTGGCTCTTTTGAGTTTTTAGACACTTTATAATGTTGTTACCTCTTCAGAAACACACCCAGACTCGCGTTTTGTTTCATTCACACGTTTGAGTGACCCTTTACTGTTAGTATGTCTACATCCCCAAAGCTCAAAATGCTCTGCTGCACCTTGTGATGTCATGAAGCAGGAGTTTTGAAGTTAACTGTTCCGTTTGCCTTTAGGTTAGTAGAGTTTGGAGTTTAAAAACACAGAGGAGCGCTTCCGGTATTACCCTCTGACGTCACAAGGTGGAAACGTGTTTTCTGAGAGAAGAATTGCGTGTCAAACATGTCATGACTGCCTTGTGATGTACAGGATTACTCATTGTAAACAGAAGAATGGAACAAATGGGACTAAACAAACTTGTCTGAACGCGCACGGAGCCCGTGTGAAATGCTCTGGTGACCTCTAGTGGAGCATACAGAGAACTACAATACACTCCTGCTCGATTCTGCTTTGGGGTGTCCCTGCGCAGTGTCCATTTTTCCAATGGTTTTAGCACATTTTTTGAAAGTTTAGTTTAATCTCTTCATTCAAACACGTGTCTGAGCAGGGGTCAAATCATTTGGAGCATTTGTCGTCAGTTCTCATTCTCTTTCTCAGAACACTGGACGCAGCTCTCATTCACCAACACATGATCAGTGAATTCAGCTTGTTTTGTTTGTTTATTTGTTTGTTTACAGTGTTGGGAAGGTGACTTTTAAAATGTATTCCCCTACAGATTACAGATTACACACACGGAAAATGTAGTTTGTAACGTAATCCATTAAATTATTTAAAGTGAGTAATGTAATCTGAATACTTTGGATTACTTAATTTGCTGTAGAATAGCAAAACCGAGGGCATCTTAACATAAGATGTTTTGTCTGATAAAAGAAAATAAAAAGACCAGACTTTACTTCACCGTATTAAAAATGTTATTGATAGAAGAGGAGGAGACACGTCCACACAGCATGTTTTAGTCCTGTTAAATCCTGTTTTAGTCCTGGTTTAGTTTGGGTTTAGTCCTGGTTTAGTCCTGGTTTAGACCTGCTTTAGACCTGGTTTAGACCTGGTTTAGACCTGGTTTAGACCTGTTTTAATCCTGGTTTAGACCTGTTTTAGTCCTGGTTTAGACCTGCTTTAGTCCTTGTTTAGACCTGTTTTAGTCCTGGTTTAGACCTGTTTTAGTCCTTGTTTAGTCCTGTTTTAGTCCTTGTTTAGACCTGTTTTAGTCCTGGTTTAGTCCTGTTTTAGTCCTTGTTTAGACCTGTTTTAGTCCTGGTTTATACCTGGTTTAGATTTAGTTTAAACCTGGTTTAATTTCCAGCAATGAGTGAAATTACTGAAAAAAAAAAAACAGGAACAGGAAAACTGGAAAATACCGCCGTGTAATCCATTTATTTCAACCAAGTAACTGTAATCTAATTACCACTCACTGAAACAGTAACTGTAATTGAATACAGTTACTCATAATTTGTACTCTGATTACATAACTCATGTAATCTGTTACTCCCCAACACTGTTTGTTTAGTACCACACTTCTGTTGTCACATGATGAAGAACTTCGGCCCAAAAATCTACAATCTGTGAGCATCAAAAGGCAAACAAAGGATTTCACACAGAGTCAAACAGGGAGAAGAATCTCAGAGAAACAGATTGTGTGAATACAGAGAAATCCTCCAGACTCTCCACTTGTGTAAAGGTCTGATTTTACAGAACACAGTGTGTTTCTCATTCTGCAGTGTCCAGCAGAACAGCGGGACAAACTGAAGGTGAGGAAGTGAAAAGTAAAGTCTTTATAAAACTTTTTTGTTGTTTTGTTGTTGTTGTTGTTTTTTTGTTTTGTTTTTTCAAAATAGAATATGTTCTGTATTTTGGTGTTTTTTTTTTACAGTCCTCCACAGGAGATTCATTCATTCATTCATTTTAGTCCTGCAGTTTGTTCTAGATGAGCACATGTGGCAGCAGCAGCAGAAAACACACAGACAGATCCTCTTTAAGAGTCTGCTGCTGTTGTCGAGTCCAGTCAATTTACTACTTTAAAATCGACATTACAGCAGCAACATCTGACTTTATTTTACCAACTGCTCAAAACTGTCAAAACATCTTTACTCCTTTACTCCCCAACGGTCCAAATGTACTGCGCACAACATGAGTTCCACCACAAACACTGAGCATGTGCAGGGATGAACTAAAACAAGAGACTGTCAGCATCCCTGTATTTTTATTTTATTTATTTATCTTTTATTATTTTATCAATTTATTTATTTATTTATTTTTTTTTGCGTCCTTTAAAGACCACTGATTCATTTCATAAAGCAAAGTCTCCACGCGCACGAAGACGGGGTCACGTGCTGTGTTCGTGCCGTAAATGAGGTCAGATGTTTTACTTTAAAACTGTCAGAAAATACCTCTTTACTTTCTTTAACTTAGGCTTTATGATCACGGGGGAGATGTTGGATTATTAAAGTAAGAAGAAATCATTTGAAGTGAATAAAACGGCATCTGAAGCGCACTGAGTCTGTTTTCAGACTATAGTTTGTATTTTTCCAGCGTTAGAGTTACAGACTTTTTTTTTTTTTTTTTTTTTTTTTGCCACGTGCTCATTGTGTGCATTTTGTCACCATGGTAACTGTCGAACATTCCGCCAGTGGAGATGCGTGTAGTGTAGAACGCCCACCGCGTGATGTCAGTGCGTGAAGTATCATAGACGTGTTGGTGTATCATCCAGTGTTTGTGTCCAGAAATAAGGACAGAGTGAAAGTTCAGCAGATGTAAGAGCACGTGTCACACTCTGGTCTGTTTTCCTGGTCTTGGTTTTGCTCTTAAAGCGCGGGCACGTTCAGTCACTGAGCACGTGCGCGCGGAGAGGACATGCGCGCCTCCTCTCCGCGCGCACTCCGCATGTGCGCATGACCTACTGGAGACTAAACATTAGATTGCTTAATTAGAAAACAACCAAGCGCAGAAACGTCTCCCAGAGAACAATAGAAGCTGGTGAGAGGCTGAAGCTGGATCCTGCTGCAGGTCTCTGTGTCGCTCAGTGACTCTAGATGCAAACAGTGGTTACCATGGAGACGCCATATAATCAGTGCCGCTCTGTCCCGGGGCACGAGAGCAGAGTTGACCGCAGACATGGAGGACGCACAGACCGAGGACAGGCGCCTTCTCTTCCTCCAGGAGCATGTTCTGAGGGCCCTGAAGATCAAACCGGAGCGCTGGGACACGTGCGTGTGTGGAGAGGAGACCCGGCAGCTGCTGCAGGACTTTCTGGACAAGTCCGAGCCCAAGACTCTGGCTCTGACTCTGTCCTCAGCCGGAGCCCTGCAGCCCGCGGACACCATCGTGTCTTCATCCAAAAACAAAGTGGTGTACTTTGTGAAGCGGAGCCAGGCCGCGCTGAGAGCAGAGAACATGAAGGAGAGTCTGGTGTACGGGGAGCTGTCCCCCGCGCCTCTGCAGCACTTCTCCAGGCTGGTGGAAGAGGTCAGCGCTTTAATCATTACACTGTCTCTGTTAAAGTGTAACAATGAGCCCAGCATCTTTACACTAGACCTGTGTGCACGCGCAGCACTGCTTCTCAACATTTGTCTTACTCTGTGAGTTGTTAAATCCTTAAATCAAGACTCAGGATTGTAGCCTCACTGTTCCCTGGACAGTCAGAGGCGCACACTTTGTCAGGAGACTGGCTGCTCAGGTCTTTTTAATGTAAAGTGCTTGGGCTCCTCATCAACACTGATGTTTAATCGGCCTAATTCAATCAGAATAAACAGCAGGCCTGTATAAAGTGATATATAAATATACAGTGACTCACAGGACATGTGATCAAGTCTTCACTGTAAAAGAGAAAGGTTCAAGTATGTGTAAAAAATGCTTCTGCTTCAGTAAACAAAAGATTCTTACAGTAAGAAACATTATGGAGCTTCTTTGGTTACAGACCAGTCCAACTACCGGGTTTTAATGGGCCTGTAGGGAACCTAAAATGAAGAGCTGCTGTTTAAACTTGTTAACACTCAGATGTGTCGTCACAAACAGGACAGTGACCGTTCATGTGCTTTGGTTAAATGTGTGGACAGGTGGTGGTCCCTCTGCTCTCCAACAGCAGAAACCAGGCTGCCTGGCCTCAGGTGGTGTCCCAGGACCTCCAGCGGCACCTGCACCTCCTCCAGAGCAGTGTGTTTGTGCTGTGTGGCTGTGTCCAAGGAAAGACACTACTGCCCCCTCCTGGTGGGGCAGAGAGGCTGGAGCACGCTGCCCCAGACAAATACAACAGGTGAGACAAACACACAGGCTTTTTTATTTACTTTTTCTTATGATCTTTGTACAAATAGACCTTCACAGACCAGACATTCTCAAACTCTACTCAGACGCACGTTTTACAGAAACTCTGATTTAAAATAAAAGACCAAACCAACAGTGACTTTTAACAAGGCTGTGGTCTGATGTGGTGGATGAGTTGGTACTGACACCCTCTGGATCATTCATAATTTGTGATTATTGTGGTAATGCTAACGGCTAGAGGAACAAAATACAGTGACTTTGACTGTGATTGTGGTTCCTTTATTACATGAGTAAAAGTGCAAGACTCTTACTGTAGGCTCCATTTTAAAAGCCAATACAAAGGTTTAGAATCACTAAATAACTCACTAATTAGAAGAGAAGTGATGTTTAGTCAACAAACAATGTCAATCTCTTAACAATGCTCTTGGAAATGGAGGTGGAACAGGCTGCCATGGAAACCAAAGCCAGGTGAACAAACACACAGACAGGTTTACTCACAGTAACACTTGGCCGTAGACTCTAGACCCTTCCCCTTTTATTCTGACTTTTACATTAAATGTTTTCACAACAAGCTCCTGGAGTGTTGATGGTCTCATGTAGAGAGATACCAGTTGTTTAGATGACTGTACTTGTAGATTTAAGGATGTTGTGCTGAAAAGTGCAAATATCAGCCTAATATATGAGTCTATCACTAGTCTCATGTTCAGAATAAACTGTTTTTATTGAGAAACCACTACTGTATTTTTCAGACTGTAAGTTGCACAGGTCTATAAGTCTCACCTTTTTGGGGAAATGTATTTTCTAAAATCAGAGACCAGGAACCAACATTTCCTGTGTAAAGTCAAGTTGTAGTAAAAACAATAGAAGAGAGAACAACAGACTGTTAACGTCACATATGAACAGTTCTTCAGATAAACTATAAACAACAGAACAGAACAAGTTTACCAAACTCTCCATCTCACTCCAAATCACTAAATCCATTCAATTCTTCATCCTCGGTGTCACTTCTGAACAACTCAGCCTCGACCTTCGGAGGTAAACAGAGCGCCGCTTCCTCTTCTGTGTCGCTGTCGTCAGACTCAGCATCAGTTCCAGTTAGAATTATTCTGGTCTTTCTGAATCTCGACAGGATGGTTTCAGTGTCACTGAAGTCCAGACTTTGTCCATCCATCCAGTGACTTCAGGAAAGTTTCATGGTGCATCCTCCTGGTGTCACAAGTTTCTCTCTCACTCCAAACTTTCTTTCTGCTGCTCGATTTATCGTTTTCAGCTGCAGATTTCACAATTTGCAGCTTGCAATCTACATAATCTGATTTTGTTTTTGGGGGGCATTTGTGTTCAGTCTTCTCCGTCTTTGTCTTTATAAGTTTGTTTAAATGTTAAATTGTTCAGTGGTGCAGAAGTAATGGTGCGATCGACTGACATGATACAGACAGAACAGAGGCTCTTTCTGCAGGAGACATGTGCAGTAGAGTGAAGTGACAGTGGTACAGGAGGAACAGGAGCAGCAGATACTCACACACAAGACTAGAACCTCTCACTGCTTCAGTGTGAACATTTTAATATATAAGTTACACCAGAGTATAAGTCACAGGAAACATCCAAATCATGAAAAAAGTGCAACTTATAGTCCGAAAAAAACAGTATATCCATCCAGTAAACATTTTCCTTTGTGCCTTGTGTTCAATCACACTAAACCTGCACTAAAGGTCTGACTCTCTGAGATCTGCAGAGCTAGAAGAGAGTCAATGAACTTCTTAAAAGTGTGTCCCAGAGAAGAACAGGATACTCTAAATATTATTGTTATGTAATTTATAACACACAGTGATCTGCAGTCATGTATAAGAATGTGAAAACATGTTTCAAATGAGAATATTTGGTATTACAGTGTGGACTCGGTGGATAAGAGCCTGATCCACTCGGTGGAGTCGGTGCTCATAGACTGGATCCATCAGCTGCACGGAGTCCTCAGCAGAGACTCTTCAGAAGAACTGCTCCGAGGTTCTCACCCCACGCCCCACACTGAGCTGCTCTTCTGGAACAACAGGTCATACACATGTGCCTCATGTTGTTCTGGGCTTTTGGGAGACGTCATGAGTTGTGGGTTTACATGCATTTACACAGATGTTTGAACAGGTTGTCTCTGGGTGTGCATATGCATGTGTATGTGCATGTGCATGTACTGTCAGTCTGTCTGAGCCTTGACTCCCTCTTGTGTTTGTCCCTGTGTACCTCAGACTGTCAGACCTGCGGTGTGTCCACTCTCAGCTCACATCTCCCAGGGCTCAGAAGATGGCCGCCCTGCTGGAGGCCGTGGAGAGCAGCTACACTCACTCTTTCACCCGGCTGCTCCAGGATGTTCTGCACGGTAACATCTCCTCACACTCTCACTCTGTACACTTCAGTGGTTCTGGTTTTAGTTTTAGTTTGAGTTCCGATGTGATGTCTCGAGGTTCAGTCATGACTCCAGCTGAGGTGAGCATGAACTGAAAAACTATTATACTGATAAACTATGTGTGTGCATGTTGTGTGTGATATAATATTAGGAATTGTGCTTTATTTCTGCCACAGAACTGATGTAAATGAATTATTAGATTGATTGCGACAGTGCATTTTAATGGACAGACATGAACGTAAACACACAGGATTATAGACAAAGGCTCATTTCCATCCATTGTGAAAGGCTTTTCTACTGTTAAGGTTCAGTGCAAATGAACTTTTTTCATACTTCAGAATCATTTCACTCAGCTAAGCACAGCCACAGCTCACACAGAACTCTTAATTACCATGAATGTTCAGAGCTGAGCACCACTTCTTGAATCCAAACATGTAGTCCCACTCTGAAATAGGGCAAAAATACCTCATTGCTTAATTTTTTTGTCGATTTCTTAGAGCTACATCATGAAATCAACAGTAAGTACATGAGTGAAATGACTGCTGTTAGACACTCACGTGCCTCTGCAGCAACACAGAGGTCGTACATCCTTCTCGTTCGTCCACACAATTTGGCCCTCAGTCGCTCAAACGATTCAGCTACATGTATCTCAGGTGTCCAAGTATTGTGACTGTTTATACTCAGGCCACACTGGTATTTCACATCTCTGAGGGGGCGCTCTATGACAGAGAAGTTGGGAATAAAATTACGGCAATAAGAACATATCCCTAGAAAGGACATACACTACCGGTCAAAAGGTTTAGAACACCACACGGTTTTTACTGTTTACTGTTGACCATAACGTATTCTAAACTTTAGATTCATGTGTGTGTCCACATTTGGCAGATAGAACAGCTGAACACACTCGTGGCTCATTCTTTTTATAATAGAAATCAAATCTTGTTCAGAAAGTTCTTCCCAAGTCTGTTGCAGAAGTTTCATAAATGTGTGGCACTTGTAGGTTGCTTCACTCTTCTGTCAAGTTCATCCCAAACCAGCTCCATGGGGTTTAAGTCTGGACACTTACCATCAAGCTCCTCATCTTGTTCTTTTTTCCTGAGGTAGTTTTGACAGAGCTTGGACTTCGTGTTTTGTTCTTTCTTTCTTTCTTTTTTTTTTTTTTTAACCTTTGTCTGTTCAGTTCTTACCTTTGTACCATTTCAAGCTCTTCATTGGACTTGCACGACTTGAACTGCAGTAGAAAAACTGGAAAAATTAGGGTGTTCTAGAACTTTTGACCTATAATCTTACGTGGTTATAGCTTGGTTCCTGACTGGTGACAGAGATTTACCTTCTGGAGTGATAATGTGACCCAAAAAGTTACCTTCTGTTTCACAAATTGAAGCTTAGCCAGAGAAACCTTGTGTCCCTCTGCTGCCAGATGTTTAAGCAGCACGACAGTGTCCCTCTCACACTGCTGCCTCATGGTGCTGCCACAGGGAGGTCATCCACGTACTGTAGGAGGACAGAGTAAGGCTGAGCAATTAATCAAATTTTGATCGCCATTTTGATTTGTGTGTCAATCAATCTCCAACTTCATATAATCGAGTTGAACCAATTCAATATAAAGTTTCTTTTGGGATATTTTTTATATAAATAAGTATTTTTATTTATATATATTTTTTTTAATATAGAGATTGTAGAACAGCTGGATGTAGGTTAGGTTAAGTTGCTTTATTCGTATCTGTAGGTAAATTTGTTTTGCAGATTTGAGGCTGGTCCCACATTTCGCATTTCATTCATCCACATTATGAACAATAAACATGTATAAAAACACATTTACAAAATAAAGTGTTAAAGAGTTCCAATGCAGAATGGTTTTGTTCCATAAACAATTTGTTAAATTCATCCACCACACTTGGCTAAAATAACAATAAATATTAAATATATAAAAACACACATGATTTTTCCAAAACAACTTACTAAAATTGATAAATAGATTAAAATTTATTCATAAGTACAACAGCAGCTGGAAAGAAGCTCTTTTTAAAATGATTTGTTCTAGATCTTGGGACTAAAAGCCTCTGACCAGAGGGAAGCAGCAGAAACTCTGAGTTTAGGGGATGTTGCACGACTTTTAGGACACTCTGGGACGTCGTCTGTAACTGTCTCGAGTACAGAGAGTCCAGGAGGCTCTGAGGATGAACAATCACCTCACTCACCCATTTATAGTTTATTTTAGATACGTTTACGTTTTTCTATGCATTATTTCATGTTCAAAGTTTATTTAATTCTTTTTATGTTTTATACATCGCAGAACTGTTCTAAGGTACATATCCGGAGCCTATATGTATTTGCAATTTGAAAGTTTTGCATAACTGATCAATAACAAAGTGTTATAAATACTAACAAATGCTTTATGTAACTAAAAAAGAATCGTTTGAATAATCGTGATTTCAATATTGACCAAAATAATCGTGAAAATGATTTTTTTCCATAATCGAGCAGCTTTAGGACAGAGGCTTCTCAAAGACAGAGAGAGAAGACAGGCTTTTTGTCAATGCAGAGGTCAACAGAGAAGGTGAAGTGTGCAGGCCCACGCTCAACCACGGGAATTTATAATAGCATCCATTAAAGGAAAAGGCCAAACAAAACTGTGAGTCAGGCTGGACTGGAACAGAAAGAAAAAAGCATTTATCTACTACCGAAAACTGAGAAGAGCTGCTCTAAACCTGCACATGTGTGATCTCTGCTGTGCACATATGCTTTATGTTGAGTTTATGTATGCAGAACACTACAATGAATAATCTGCTGCAGTGTGTAACTTGTAATTGAGTATATTCAGTGTTAGGAAGGTGACTTTTTAAAATGTCTTCCCCTACAGATTACAGATTACATAGCCCAAAATGTAGTTTGTAACATAATCCATTAAATTACTTAAAGTGAGTAATGTAATCTGAATACTTTGGATTACTTGATATTGTCATGTTTTTTAAAACTACATGAATGTAACAACCACATCCTGAAAATTCACGTTTGTTCTCTTCAAATTGGCCCTGGTTTAGACCTGGTTTAGTCCTGGTTTTAGTCCTGGTTTAGTGCTGTTTTAGACCTGGTTTAGACCTGGTTTAGTCCTGGTTTAGTCCTGGTTTAGTCCTGGTTTTAGTCCTGGTTTAGTCCTGGTTTTAGTTCTGGTTTAGTGCTGGTTTTAGTCCTGGTTTAGTGCTGTTCTAAACCTGGTTTAGACCTGGTTTAGTCCTGGTTTAGTCCTGGTTTAGTGCTGGTTTAGTCCTGGTTTAGCTCAAAATATGAAAACAGGAAAATACCTCTGTGTAATCCGTTTATTAACACTCACTGAAACAGTAATTGTAACCGAATACAGTTACTCATAATTTGTACTCTGATTACGTAACTCCAGTTCATGTAATCTGTTACTCCCCAACACTGTGTATATTGAATGAGTATATTGCTGTGCTAAAGGAGTTATGAAAGTAAGTGTCTCTGCAAATACAGTATGTTTACTTAGGACTGTCACTAAAACACATTTTGAAGTGTGATATATTATTGGTGTATGTAAATATTAAATTAATCCTGAAAAAGTGATTCCAAATTGTTAAAATGTAAGAGCTGCAATAAATAAATGACAGAAGTGTAGTTAGTTTGTATCTATCAGTCATACAGATTATTCATTCAACTCTCTCAAAACTTATTGTATTTTTAAAAAATCTAAAAAATCCCCATGATAAATATTTACTTAAAAAAATGATTGTTCCATCTGTGTCCATAAAGTGATTATTGTGACAGGCCTATCTTTAAAAGTCCTATATTATTTTAAAATGACTCTTGTGAACTTTAAGGCATTTCAGAATACTGCTATGTCCTTAAAAACAGATATGGAGTTGGGTTTTGTTTCATTTACACATGTTTGAGTAACTCTTTATTATTAGTCTGTCTACATCTCCAAAGTTCAAAATGCTCTGTTCCACCCTGTGATGTCATGAAGTGGTAGTTTTCAAGTAAACAGCTCCTTTTAACTTTAGGTTCAGTAAAGATTGACAACTCCAGGCCTGAAATGATCTATGATGACTAATTCTAGTGAAGGTGTGTATAGTTTAAAAACACAGTGGAGCATTACCTGTGCATTACCACATGACATCACAAAGTGGGACAGAGTGTTTTCTGTTTGAGAGAAGAGCTCATTCTAAATGTGCAGGTTTGTGTGTTAAACATGTGAATGAAACAAAACACAAGTCCAGGTGTGTGTGTGATGAGGAGACAACAGTATAACACAGATCAGTAAACAGTGTAAGGTCTTTTAATCACATTTCGTCACTCCTCTGCGTAGCCCTGGAGGAGGCTCAGGACATCTGTGCTCACCTGAAGCCCCTGCAGCGCCTGCTGGAGGAGGTGGAGGCTGCAGAGTTCCCAGAGGTCAGAGGTCACATCGCTCCACTCATGCACACTGTGTGTCTGCTCTGGACCCACTCCCGCTCCTACTGCCGCCCCGCCCGAATCATCGTCCTGCTGCAGGAGATCTGCAACCTGCTGCTCCAACAGGTCAGGGGGCTCTCTACAGGGGTCCTCTACAGGGGCTCTCCTCGGGGGGAGTGGGGTGGCCAGTGGGGCTGGGTATCATTAAAGAGTTGCTGATAGGATACAGACCTTGAAACATGGGCCACAATACAATACACATCTCAATACAGTGCAATTTCGATTTGATACGATATATTTCAAATCCATTCAATACAGTTCAATAAAAATAAAGGTTAAATCATGTCTATGATACTAAAAGTCTTTGTTAAACCACTTTTTGTGCAAAGTTCATATGAAACACAAACATTTTAATCAACAAAACAGTGAAAATGTCAAATGTGTCACATAAATGAGTTTCCTTCCTCTGAACAAACAACAAAACTGTAGCTGTAACAAAATCATTGAGTAAAATAGACCAAAAAATACTGTTGGTGATAATATCAATACAGCAGCCCATGATATCGATACTGTATCATCACATTAAGCAATACAATAGAGCGATATTTCAATATTTTTGCACAGCCCTCATGGTCAGTGGGTTAGGTGTGGCTTGTCGTGATCAGAAGTGAAATGATGTCTTAGAGTTTGAAGCATAAACTAGGTCTGTCACCTGATATATCCCTACAGAGAAATATCATGATAAACAATAATAATGAAACTATTTTATAGCGAAAGAGCGATATAACTTTGGCCAATGTATCAGGATGATATTTGGATTTTTTTGCTATTGGCTTTAAAGGTTCTATATTAAACTAAATTGACTTTTCTGAGATTAAAGCCGTGTTTTATGTTTTTTACCTCTACATTCACACATGTTTGAGTAATTCTTTATTATTAGTCTGTCTACATCTCCAAACCCCAAACTTGCTCTGTTCCACCTTGTGACGTCATGTAGTGGTAGTTAACATGCAAGTTAACAAGAAATACACATACAAATACACACCTAGAATTGTATTAAAACTTGTTTGCAGACTCTTGTTGAGTCTGCTCCATCTGAACAACAAAAAAGACAGCTCAGTTCCCTCTGCGGCCAGTAGATGGTGTCCTAACATTTCTTTAGTAGTGCAAATTATATCATCATTCATAAATTCTAAAAGATGAAATTCCAAAGCAAATATACTTAAAGACAGATAAAGATTTGCACTACAAAAACACACAGAATACATTCTTGTGGCTTTAATTCTCTTTTGAACATGACTTTAGTTTCACTGGCTTAATGTTTCATATTTTTTTTACTTAAAATAATGTTCGGGAACATTTTTGTCCATAAATGCAGTGCTAATAGAACCATGTGTTTGTTGTGACCACAATTTGCATATTTATACTTTGCAGTGACATCACAATGGGGATGTTCTACACTTATCTCTATGGTGGAAAGTTCAGCATGGAGACACAATGCACACATCAGTAAACACAGGCAAACTTGTTTTAAGATGGTCTGAAAACTCATCAAACGTGAAAGTGACTGACTGAATTAAACATTCAGTAACATCGCCATATTTCTGGTTGCGTTGTGTCTTTTTCTTGGTCCATTTAGGTAGTTGTCACCCAACTTGTTGCTATCACATGCCCAAGAGCTCATTTCTTTACCATTATTTATGTGGTGTGTAGACAAAAAATTCATTTGGGAACCAGGTGTCTAACATCTGGTTATTATTTGTTTTTGATATTTCTCTGACAGATACCAGAGTTTCATATTGTTTCATTAAATTAAGAAAGATTTACACTTGCATTGACAATAAATTCACATTCACATGATGAGTGGCTGTAATCAGGCAGTGGAGTATAAATATTGCATTTGTGAAGGCCCCGTGTTGATTTTCTTGCCAATATGACAATCTATTGTGATCACACACCTTTAGTTTTTGATGAGACACCCACATTTTCTTCAAACATATTTTTTGTTATTGTGGGGTCCGCGTGGACCCCAGTACCAAAGAGGCTAATTTTGCCCAAAGGGTTCTGTATATCCTATACCAAAAGGAACACCTATGATGTCTTCTCTTTGTTAGCATCAATGTGCGCTGTCCCTGTCTCAAATAAATAAAATAAATAAATAAAATAAATGATGCAACAGAACATTAAAAAAAACTCAACGTGATTTTGCAAGTGACAAAAATGTGAAAAAAGAGAAAAAAATGTGAGGTTATTATTAAATTTTTCATTTAATTAAAGCAAGTTATACCAAATGAATTTCGTTGTTTCTTTATTTATAGTATCTGAGGTTGTCACACTTGTCAAGAACCTAATTTGGAGACAACTGTTACCTGCACACTTATGGGAAATATATAATATGATGGTGGGGTCCGTGTGGACCCCAGGTGCACAGATTAGTAGGTTTTGGCACATGTACTGATGAGGGTTAACAACACAGATCTGCTCACCTGTTTTAATTTCAGCTAAGTCACTTCTTTATGGTCAAATTGAGTTTAAACAGAGATCAGAACAGAGCTTCAGATAGAGCAGTGCCTACAGCTTCACATCCCCAGGAAATGGTGATGACTTATAAACTTAAAAACCAAAACACAAACAGAACATTTGAAGTGTTCAGAGGAGGGTGAGTGAGGGGCTGTGAACTTACCCATCCCAAACACATGCTGATCATACATCTGGTGTTTCTCCTCAGGCCCAGGCGTATTTAGTCCCAGAGGAGCTGCTGCGAGGGGAGGTGTCCCAGAGCCTGGAGAAGCTGCAGACCAGCCTGGAGCTCCTGCAGATGTTCAGGAGCACATACGAAGAGCGCAGGGCCAGTCTGAGCCAGTACCAGAAGAACGGACAAGCCCCTCCACCCTGGGACTTCTCCCCTCACCTGGTCTTCACCCGACTCGACCTCTTCATACAGAGACTCAACACTGTCAAGGTAAAACTCAACACAGCCACACATTCTTATTAGGTCTCACATAATGCAAAAAAACTGAGTCGTGTGAGTTTTAAGACATGTTATAAAGTTGTTACCTCCTCAAAAACATCCCTGGAGTTGTGTTTTGTTTCATCCACACATGTTTGAATAACCCTTTATTATGAGGTGCTAGGGATGTAACAATAACCAAAATATAACCAAAATAGTATCGTATTGTGATATCGTAACGTCACAGTTCTCACCAGGGATGGGCATAATTAGTTGATTAATCAATAGTTGATCATTAAGAATTTCATAGATTACGTTCATTTTTAATCGACAACCTGAATGTAGGTTGCTGTGCTGTGTTAGGGTGACCAAATGTCCGTTTTTCCCCAGACATGTCAGTTTTTCACGTCCTGTTCTGGAAGTAAATTTTTTTTAATAAACTGATGCAAATGTCTGGATTTTCATTATCTTTCATTGGGCCATTAGACTGAGCCGCTGTTGTAGCTCTGTGACTCAGAAGGAGCGAGCAGACGCAAACAGTCAGTCTGCAACACGCCGAAGCACAACTGCACATTTAATGATGACTTGTACAAGAAATTCCCGCTTTCTGTCCCGACGAGACAAGGCAGAGGTATGTACACAATAGCGGTGCGAGGGACCTCAAAGCACCAGAACACCAAAAAACATTAAAAAGCTTTACCAGGTGAGAGTCACAAGGACCCACCTCCCTCCCCCCGTACGGTGTCCTGGTTTTGACAAACGCAAATCTGGTCACACTAACCTGTGTTCCACTGAGTCATGTCTTTTAGTCCAACAGAAGTTGAACTGCATTAGCTGTTTTTTTCTTCACTTAGTTTATGCAAATGAGCCATGTGGTTTTAAGTTTCGTTTCTGTGAGACTTGCACAAAACTGAATTAAACGCATTATAATGTCAAACGGGCTGATGTGGCTCTAGAGTCGTTACAGTTTATATGTTGTAAAGTTGAATTTATTTATGCAGATTATTAGTGCAGATAGTAATAATAATGATGATCATTTTAATATAAAAACATTAATGATTAATCAATAATCGATCGTTAATTCTCCCAACGATCGATTAAGAAAATTTTATCGAATGCCCATCCTTAGTTCTCACAATAATATCGTGGACCATCACAATATATCGAATCACAAGTCTCTTTGCTTAAATGAAGAGTTATGATGCAGCAACAGCTAAAAAAAAGACAGAGGAACTACATCGACCATGATCCTTTGCTCTGTTATAGTGCAGACTACATGAAGAAATAACAGTTCTAACACTTTTAAGTCTTAGTTCTTTGGATTAAGTCTTGTCAAGGTGTTTTAAGAGGGAAAAAGGTAGTATGTACAGTTTTAGCTGTTAAGCCTCCACAAAATATGAATAAATATCACACCATGAGATGTACATCGTGAAAATATCGTCCTGAGAGATTTGGATATTGTTACATCCCTAACAGTGTTGGGGAGTAACAGATTACATGTACCGGCGTTACGTAGTCAGAGTACAAATGATGAGTAAGTGTATTCAGTTACAGTTGTTACTGTTTCAATGAGTGATAAATGGATTACAGTTGCTTTGTTGAAATAAATGGATTACAGGCGGTATTTTCCTGTTTTCACATTTTGGGCTAAACCAGGACTAAACCAGGTCTAAAAGCAGGACAAAAAGCAGGACTAAACCAGGACTAAACAATATAACACTAACAATAGGTGGACATAATTGAAGGCAGCAGTGATCTCATATAAAAATCTTTTCTGTATCGTAATATTTTTAATACGGTTAAGGAAAGACTGGAATTTTATTGTCTTTTAGCAGACAAAACATCTTGTGTTAAGATTCTAGACTTTGCTACTCAACAGTAAACAAAAGTCTGTTCATGGAGACTTGGGCTCAACAGACAATTTGAAGAGAGCAAAAAATAATTTTCAGGATGTGGTTGTTACATTCATGTAGTTTTTAAAAAGCATGACAATATCAAGTAATCCAAAGTATTCAGATTACGTTACTCACTTTAAGTAATTTAATGTATTATGTTACAAACTACATTTTGGGGTATGTAATCTGTAATCTGTAGGGGAATACATTTTAAAAGGAACCTTCCCAACACTGATCCCTAATCGTGAACCTCCCCACCATATCGTGAGCTTTCCCACAATATCACAGTTAATATCGTATCGTGAGGTTCATACCGTGATGATATCGTATCGTGAGACTTGAATATCATTACACCCCCATCTTTAAAATGGACCTATTCTACAAAATCCACAATTTACACATCTATAAGTCTTGTTTAAGGACACAATAGAGTCTTTGCACCGTCACGTGACCCCTATAGCAACGGTACCTATGCTGCCATGACATCGGGCACACTATGTCACTGACTTCAGCAGCATCGGAGAAACATGGGCAGGTTTTGTTGTGTATTTGGTTGTTCTAGACGCTCTGAAAGGGATAAAACGATTCGTTTCTTCACTGTTCCTCTGGAAATGACTCATCAGGAGCTCAAACAAGGGAATTATTGAAAAAAAAAACGGGAATTATGGCTAGAGAACATAAACCGCGAAGAGATTTCCTATGATATCATCAAGACACACTCACGTCACTTTCATCAAGGTATTTGCTATTTAAATTGTTTCATAGCTTATTTAATGAGAGAAGCACATTTACTGAACTAAAATGTAAAAAGAAAACATTTGCAGTGTGAGTGGCAGTAGAAACTGAATCTTCCAGCACATATAAACATGTCACTCGTCGTAGGATCCATGTTTTCTTTATTGTCTTGCTTAACCACAACTATGTCTTCTAGAATTAATCGTTTTTTGCGAGCGGATCTTTCTAACGCTTGTGAGGATCTTTTCATGGCCGATTCTTTCGAGGTTCGGCTCACAGACTCTTCGACTCGTGCGTCATGTTGATCATAGGAGCCCAGTGTGGGTTCGTTGAATCGTAAACTAGTGCGGGTTTTCCTGGATAAATTAATGAAATTTTAGTTCAGTAAATGTGCTTCTTTCATTAAATAAACTATGAAACAATTTAAATAGCAAATACCTTGATGAATCTTCGGGTGTCTTGATGATACCATAGGAAATCTCTTTGTGGTTTATTTTTACTAGCCATAATCTTTAAGTCTTTAAGTCTTTTTTCGGTAATTCCCTTGTTTGAGCTCCTGATGAGTAATGTCCAGAGGAACAGTGAAGAAACGAATCATTTTATCCCATTCAGAGCGTCTAGAACAACTAAATACACAACAAAACCTGCCCATGTTTCTCCGATGCTGCTGAAGTCAATGGCATAGCATGTCCGCTGTCATGGCGGCGTAGGTACTGTTGCTATACGGGTCACGTGACGATACAAAGCCTCTATAGTGGAGTTTTATTGTATTATACTATGACTAGGCTAGAGAAATATAAGGCGTAAAATAATGATTTATACTATTGTGACCTCATGAGGCTTTGGCTCAGATTTTGTTCAAAGATGTATTGTGTGTGATGTTGTACAGGGAACATAAGATTGATCTTCTGTGCTGCTCCTTTGTTCATGTCAGTGACGTTACAAATACACTTCATGTATGTGTGTGTCACCTTCTACAACACACACACACTTTCACTACACTCACTGTCACTCTATGAGGCAGGGGAGCAGTGTACATAATTGTGTCCCTGGGAGAGACAAAGTAACATCTAAAGCACAATGGAGCTGTGAGTGATCTGTGGCGACCGCAGAAAGAAACATGATTGTACTTCTGGAACATGAATCATCTATAAAGCTTGTGTACATGGTGTAATATAAAGTACTTGGTCTTTGTAGGACGTGGTGGTGACGGCAGTGGAGCTGTTTAAACTGGAGAAGGTGGAGATCGGTGGAGTGAAGGGTCAAATCCTGAGCCAGCACGTGTATAACCTGCACCACAACTTTGTGGAGTTATTCAAGAACTTCACAGAAAAGTCCAACGCCTGTTTGGACCTCAGTAACACGGTAGGAACTCAACACAGCATCAAAGTGTGCTTTTTTTTTTACTCTTTTAACATAGTCTTTTGTACACAACAAACGTGAACGCCGCAACAAATACAAATGCGACAACACAACAAAAAGCCACAACAAACCAAAAAAAGCCACAAAATAACAAAAAAAGCCACAACGTAAATGACCGCGGGACTCTATTTTAATGCAAACACCTCAACAAATACAAACGGCACAACACAAACGCAAATGCCACAACACATTAAAAAGCCACAACAGAAGTGACCGCGGGACACTATTTTCCGACGGACTGATCAAGCGGCAAGTGAAGAAGAAGAACTACAACATGAAACGAATAATGATAAAACAATAAATGACTTTTACTTACGTTTCCAACTTCTCCGTTCCTTTACTTTTCATGTTGTAGTTCTTCTTCTTCACTTGCCGCTTGATCGGTCTGTCGGAAAATAATGTGTAACTTCTGTTGTGGCTTTTTGATGTGTTGTGGCATTTTAATGTGTTGTGGCTTTTTAATATGTTGTGGCTTTTTTATGTGCTGTGGCTTTTTAATGTGTTGTGGCTTTTTGATGTGTTGTGGCTTTTTAATGTGTTGTGGCTTTTGATGTGTTGTGGCTTTTTAATGTGTTGTGGCTTTTTGATGTGTTGTGGTTTTTAATGTGTTGTGGCTTTTTGATGTGTTGTGGCTTTTTAATGTGTTGTGGCTTTTTGATGTGTTGTGGCTTTTTAATGTGTTGTGGCTTTTTAATGTGTTGTGGCTTTTTGATGTGTTATGGCTTTTTAATGTTTTGTGGCTTTTTACAACATATTGATTCAAAGTGATGTCCATTTTCACCCATACTCACTCAAATAAACTATTTTTGGGACCAAGATCTTTTAATTACCTTAATTACTGTGAAATCAACAGAACAATGAACCTGATGAAGGCCAGTTTGGTTAGTAGTCCTAACATAGTCAAAAGGTCATCTGAATAAAGGCTTTTAACTATATTTTTCCTCATGTGATTTTTACTTCTTAAGTGTGCCTGGATTCCTTCGTGTTAAAGGTTTTGATCCTTTTTCCAAGAGCATCCTCTACCTGCTCTCACTGCTGATCGCAACACCTGCAGCAAACAGACACATTTATGTATTTTTCTGTGTTTTTTTTTTTTTTTTTCAGAACAATGTATATGTTTGTGTTCATGATGTATGGATTATGTTCCCTCCTCAGAAACACACCAGGAGTTGTGTTTGAGTAACCTTTTATTATTAGTCTGTCTCCTAAGCTCAAAATGCTCTGTTCCCCCTTGTGATGTCATGAAATGGTAGTTTTCAAATTAGCATCTTTACCTTAAATTCAACGGATGCTGTCATGTCTAACAATATGGGCCCTTTAATATTTACATAGTAAAAATATGATTTTGATTGTGTAAAATAGGTTGTGTTTATTGCCTAATAATGTGTGCAGGAGTTTGATGCTGATGTGAGACAGTTCAAAGTGCTGGTGGAGGACACAGATCGGCGTCTTGGTGCCATCTTCTGCCAGGCCTTTGACAGTGCCCCCGGCCTGGAGCACGCCTTCAAGGTCTCCTCCAAACTCCTGTTTACTACAGTTATTCAGAACCCCACACTGAGGCTCTAACATGGCCTTGTACTGCCCTGTGTTTGACCTGCAGGTGCTCAACATGTTTGGGAGTCTGCTCGAGCGCCCCCTGGTGGCTGCAGATGCTGTGGACAGATACACCACACTAGTGTCCATGTTTGACCAGGAGCTGGACAGCGTCAGGCTCATGTACACAAAGTGTTTACAGGAGGCTGACCACCAGGGTGAGATGATTATAATATTAATAATAATCCATGTCAGTTTATAGGTTATTGTTGTGTTAGTCATAGATGTAAGTGTCTAAATATGTCTCTGTGATGTCACAGCCTGGTCTCCAATGAACAAGAACATGCCCACAGTGTCTGGAGGCCTCAGGTGGGTTCAAGAGCTGAGGAGAAGAATCCAGACGCCGTTCTCCATGTTCAGACAGCTGTCCTACCCGTGAGTATGAGTACTCTAATACTGTACTACATGTGAGTATGAGTACTGTTATATTAAACAGTAGACTGTTTTGTTTTGTTCATAACTCTTGTATAAAATAATACGACTGGTAGAAGTTTGAGTAGTTTTGGGAAAGTTTCAGCTCTTATTATATTTGTTAGTTGAGTTCACACATGCTCAGTCCAGCTCAGTGAGGATAAATCAGGACACTGTGTTTACAGGTCACAGTATCCTGATACTCTCAGAATGTCAGTGAGAGCATCTGGTTTCTCATCACGGGGACAGTGTCTTATCCTGGAGTCTAACATCTGGAGACGTGTTTACATGAACACAAAACCAGGATGCTCAAAAGACCTGATCATAACTGGGATAAGCACATGTACATACTCTTCAAGACAATTTGAATGATATCAGGGGTGCAGTGGCTCAGTGCTTGTTAAAGTAGGACTGCCAAAAACCAAACCTGGATAATCAATACTAAAACCTACATCGCATGGTAATATGTAATGAAATGACAGTTCTTTTATGCTGAAAATAACATTCTATTGTCTAGTAATATTTTGGTGTCAACATTCATATAGTATAGGTATACATGGTTTCTGTGGAAATATTAGTCAGAAAAAAATATTTTTTTAATCTTTAGTCTTTGCTTTACCTTTTTATGTTTAATACAGCAGGCTTCACAAGAGTCATTTATGATCAAATGTCTGAAAGAGCTTATAACACTGCCCAGACCAACCTGAGCAGAGGTCAAACACACAGACCTAATGCTGTTGTTCATTTCTGTAGTTTGTTACATTCTTTGCTTTTATTGCACTGACAAACATGGAAACATGGGTCCTTAATCTGAGCAGACCTAATGTCAGACTACGACTCTTATTTGGTCTGGAGCAGGGCCTCCTCCTGTTTGTTTCCATGGAAATGTTGTTCCTTTGGCTTTATTCTTCCACAATATGACTGAAAACATAACTCTCTCCATGTAAAATGTTCCTGAGTATAGTTTTAACTTTGCATTTCCATGTATAGACTTTTCCTTTAGTGTAAAGTACAATAATCGTCCTGTATGAGATTGTTTTGTGTTGTTTGTGCAGGTGTCTGGAGAGTCCAGCAGGAGCTCGAGTCCTTCAGAAGTATGAAGACATGATGCAGCTGCTGGACAGGTGTGTCCCCAAACCAACACTGGAGACACTCTCCACACAGAGTACACACATTCAAATGCACCAACAAAGAACTAAATGAGATGAAAAACATATATACTAAAAGTACATTTGATACTGAAGACCGCACATATATGATATAAGATTTAAGGAATTACAAACCCTTGACCTTCTCTCAGTGAGACTCTTGATGACGTCTCAAGAGTCAGGGTCAAGAAATGTGCAAACCAAGGTTCAAAACAAAGTTAAAAAAAAACAAAAACGAGTTGAGTTATTTTGAGTTAAATTTTTGTTTACTACATTCCACTTGTGTCATTCATAGTTTTAGATAGAAAGATTGTCTTCAGTGAAAATCTACACAGTGAAAAAAAAATAATAATAAAAAAGATCCATACATGAAAAAGTGTGTCCAAAATTTAAATGGTTGTGAATTTTTTTAAATGATCTAAACTGCTATTTTGAATAATAAAAATAATTGTGAACCTCACACTGTTTTTTAGAATCTCCGCCAACTTGTTCTGAAATCGATGTCATTCTTTTAGTTAAGCAGATCATATTTCAGGCTTCTCTCCAGTTGACTCGCCTCTGGTCATGTTTAAAATGTGATTTGAAACTGGATTTCCAAATAAATAAAACACTAATCTAATTTCAAATGCAATACTTGTTTTGCCGTAGTAAATCTCTTGTCATATTACACAAAGTTGAGTTTGTAACATTTGTGAAGCGGCCCAGGGGGACTGTGTAGACTCTGAGCTTTAAGCATGATTTATGGTCTCATTACAGCACCACGCCTCCAAACACGATCTCTCAAGCTGTCCAGAAACACTGCACTGTACGTGTGGTCGTAGAAATGAGTGAGAATTCAAAGTTACATCGAGCAAGCTAGAAGCATTTTAGCTCTGAGAATGGTTCCTTAACTGTTCTATATCACATAAATTGGACTATTGTGAAGTTCAAGTCATGTTAGAATGTTATTACCTCATCAAATAACAACTTGGAGTTTAGTGGCAGCTGGTGGTATAATCTTTTGGGTTGGAGCACCTAGGCCCAAATTATAAATATATACTATAAATATATGTATTAAATATATAAACAGTATATGTAGGCTGTATAGTATTATATAACGAATGCCAGGAAATTTTTTTGTCACTACTGGCTGAACTATATCAGAGCACAAATACACAGCCAAGCTCAGAGTTTACGCAGCAGCACAACCCGAGCACACACCGAGCATCAGCAACGTCAAGCAGAACTACAATAAGAGGCTACGGTCACAACACGAACACTTTGGCGTCAGTGTTGCTCCTACAGCACACGGCAGAACAACAGGAGCAGAACCATCACACCCATGAGCTCATTTACACACCATATAACTATTAACACTTAAACATTATAACACTATTAACACTTGAACACTAGAACACTATTAACACTATTTAACTATTAACACTATTAACACTATTAACACTATAACACTATAACACTATTAACACTAGAACACTATATAACTATTAACATTATTTAACTATTAACACTATTAACACTATAACATTATTAACACTATAACATTATATAACTATTAACATTATTTAACTATTAACACTAGAACACTATTTAACTATTAACACTAGAACACTATAAAACTATTAACAATAGAACACTATAAAACTATTAACACTAGAACACTATAAAACTATTAACACTAGAACACTATAAAACTATTAACACTAGAACACTATAAAACTATTAACACTAGAACACTATAAAACTATTAACACTAGAACACTATAAAAACTATTAACACTAGAACACTATAAACTATTAACACTAGAACACTATAAAACTATTAACACTAGAACATATAAACTATTAACACTAGAACACTATAAAACTATTAACACTAGAACACTATTTAACTATTAACACTAGAACACTATAAAACTATTAACACTAGAACACTATTTACCTGTGAGGCTCCATCCTCAGATTTGTGAAACAAGCCTCTTACCTTCTCTAGAGGAGCAGAGACTTTCCTCTCTCCACTGTCCTGATAGTTCTGTCTCCAAAAGTGTATTATTGTCCAATATGAAGAGATCAGTCTGGTCCAAGTCCTGTTCCAGTCAAGTTTGTGACACAAGGTCAGGGAGCCCAGTGCACCAGTTGATCATAAAACTAGTCTTAATCCTGCTTCACTCTTAAATCTGAAAGTTACTGCTGGTCCAGCGACTAGCTATAATCCTAAAAAAACTCCTAAAAACTGTTCCTCGGACGCATTTGACTGAGTGAGTTGGACTCACCATGTCTGTACACAGCTCCTTTGTTCTCCATTCATTAGCCTGTACCAGTGCATCATCATCTCTAGACATATCATGCACTTTTAGGTAGTTTAAGACTGCGTTCAGACTGCAGCCTGAAGTGACCCAAATCTGATTTTTTGGCCCCTATGTGATCTGTATCTGATCTTTTGATGACAGTCTGAACCACACAAGATCCGATTTTTTCAAATGTGACCCAGGACACTTGGATATGTGCTCCTAAAACCAATACATATCTGATCTTTTGACATGCGACTTCAGTCTGAATGGCCAAAGCACATCCATCCGACCTACACGTTATCAACAAGACACAAACGTCACTATTCTGCACTGAAGTAGGTGAAAATTGTTAATGAACTCTGTGTCACTGAAGTGAAGCACATCACCACTCACCACTCTTGGCTACATCTCCACATCCACACGTTCCTTTCAATGGACTGAACCACAAAACACCACGGCCAAAAACCTCGTCCTTCTCCTTCTCAGTCTCCTCCTTAAAACAAGTAAGTTGTTCATGTTCTGGCTCTGGTACGAGAGGAACTTTAAAATCTCCAGATGCTCAATGCAGCGTCCATGTTTGGACAACTTCTGTAAACACAGAGCACGCTCGCTGAGGTTGACGTCGTCGTGTCTCCAGTGCACATGTGGGACACTTTTGGCCCATTTAACGTTCACACAGGAGATCACATACAAGTCACATTTAATTGGAAATGTGAACGACCTCGCAAAAACATCGGATTTAACAAAAAAAATCGGAATTGAGCATTAAGCCCTGCAGTCTGAACGTAGCCTACAATTACCAGTGTGTGAGGATAGAACTTAAAGCTGAATTCATTAACTTTTCTGATGGAGGATCCGCTTTTCTCCATGGAGATGTTATTGCTTTGTATGAAATGTTTCACAGTGTGGCATTAAACCTTTCTATCTTCATGGAGACCAAACCAGACCAAGTTACAAATCAGATCTGTGGAGAGGCGACCCTGCTCTCAGTCAGAATGTCTGTTTTTTTTTTTGTGTTTTTTTTAAAAGTATTTTTCAGCTCTAAAACCACCTATAGTTGTGTACATTTAAGGTAGAGCTGTTTAATGCCATACTGTGGAACATTCCAGGCAAAGCAATGATATATCCAAAGAAACAAGCAAAAGTGAAATAGTATAATCCTTGATGACTGCAGTCAGGAGGTGGACATCCTGCCCATCAGTGTGGACAAAGCTCCATCTGATTTATGAGCGTGAGTCTTGGCTTTGATTGCCTCTGAAGCACGCAGCCCAAATGCAATAAAGAGCACACTCTGAGGAGCCCATTCTCATCATCTTTACAGTGAGAGAGTCGTACAAAGCTGATCTTTACACAGAGAGAAAGTCGTACAGAGCTGATCTTTACACAGTGAGGGTGTGCACCTTCAGTAACCCCGCTCCTCATTGGCTCCTCACATGGATTATAGACTATATTCTATAGGCGAGTTTCAGCTGACGTCATTGTTATTAAAAGCCTGTGTTGCATGCTGGGAAATATTTTGGTCGGAGGCAAGAAACACGGTAGCGGTTAAACACAGTGCGTAACCTCATGTATTTATCCCCGATAATGGTAAATTCCTGCTGCATTATCGGATGCACAAATAGAAGCACGGAAGAAGGAAAATGTCTTTTTCGTATTCTGAGTGAAAAGAACCGCTAACGGTGAATTAAACGGCTTTCAAACATTCGCAGAGCAAACGTAGAAGATCCTAACAAAACGTGGACTCCAACAAGTTCAACAACACATCGAGACTCTTGGAGGTTTTCATCTTTTCTGCTGTGAATGGCCCAGGAGTTTCCACCAAGTCATCCCCAGTCCAGGTAGTTGGTGATTCTGACTGAATTTGGTTTGGTCCACCTTTTGTCGGGGTTGAAAAGGGTGATTTGGCGTCCGTCGATGCTTATGACCAATTTCTGGTCAAATGGTCTTGGGTCCTCTGCTGTTAGAGTGGATAAATAACCGGGATCAATACCCTTTACGTGCTTTCTCGCTCCGTCTGTCATGTTGAATTAGTGTTTATTGCCGCCGACCAAAATAATTCCCAGCATGCAACGCGCGTTTTGTCAACAATGAAACTCGCCTATAGGAACAACTCGTGCAGTCGTAGTAGTGAGCTGTAGAGATTAGTCCTTTGCTTTTAACTGTATGACATAAACTAGAGGGTTCAGTAGTTTAGCTCTGATGATGCTGTGTTGTTGCAGGTATGTGGGCAGCCTCTATGACTCCTGGGCACAGACTGTAGCAGAGAACTCCGAGTACAACCTGAGTTTGCCTCTCCTCAAGCGAGACCCCTCCAGTCGCCTTCTGTCTGTCAATTTCAACCCACAGGTCTGGACATTTCTACACTAAACATCTGTTAGAGATCAACTATGTTTTTTTCACAGCTATTGCCAAAACAAATTGTTTAGAATCCAGAGAAACTGATGGTCGATAAGCTCTGCCTGTTGGTGGTCTTCAGATTGTAGAATGTGGAGATGCCGTACTTCCAGGTGATGGGCTAGAGACAGTTTTTCCTATTAATCATATTGTACTTTACCAAGAAATTTTGGAAAGATAAATTCCCAGATATGGAACCTGGTCAGTTCTATTATTTACTAGAACTAAGACCATGATTTACTGCAACAAAAATCTGTAGTTGAACAATATTCATTTTAGCTGTATTAAATATAGAAAGCTGTGATGTCATCTGTAACCCAGCGTTGTTTCTGGGCTGAGATTTTGGGCTGCTTTTCCCCAAATTTTGTATTTTAAATTTACTACAAACTTCCACCCAAGCCATTTTTTACCACAAACCTATAAGAGCGTAATCACATTTTGTGCAGTTATCTCTTCATATTACAATTAGTGCTGTCATACGATTAAAAACATTGAGAGATTAAATAATTATGATCTGTAATTAATTAATCTAATTAATCTCTTTTTAATCTCACCTAAAAATTGCTGAGAAAAGCTTCAATTTGAGGTGTTTTCATTTAAATTCATTATTACATTATTGTGGCAGATCAAAAAACTGATATAGAACAAAAAAAAAGTGACTTTATAAAGTAATTTATTGTTTAACAAACTTTAACAGATGCAGTCACTTACATTCCACAGTATCATCATTATTATTACTATTACTAATCTGCACTGTTGGGAAGGTTACTTTTAAAATGTATTCCCCTACAGATTACAGATTACATATCCCAAAATGTAGTTTGTAACGTAATCCATTTAATTACTTAAAGTGAGTAACGTAATCTGAATACTTTGGATTACTTGATATTGTCATGCTTTTTAAAACTACATGAATGTAGCAACCACATCCTGAAAATTCTTGTTTGTTCTCTTCAAATTGGCTGTTGAGCCCAAGTCTCCATGAATAAGAAACTGTTTGCTGTAAAGTAGCAAAGACGATGAAATCTGAACATAAGATGTTTTGTCTGTTTAAAGACAATAAAAAGTCCAGTCTGTCCTTAAACATATTAAAAATATTATTGATAGAGAAATGCTTTATATATGAGATCACTGGTTTTAGTCCTGGTTTTAGTCCTGGTTAAGACCTGCTTTAGTCCTACTTTAGTCCTAGTTTAGTCCTGGACTGGTTTAGTCCTGGTTTTAGTCCTGGTTTAGTTCTGGTTTAGTCCTGGTTTAGTTCTGGTTTAGTCCTGGTTTAGTCCTGGTTTAGTCCTGGTTTAGTCCTGGACTGGGTTAGTCCCGATTTTAGTCTTGGTGTTAATTCTGGTTTCGAGGCTCACAGGAGGAAGCGCGGTTTACGCAGCGTACGCGAGAAAACTCGGACCACACGCGGCGCCCGGGAGCACGTCGGTGTCCGCGCAGTAATTACGGAAGGAAACGTGGTCTGCGCGTTCTCAGGTTGATGACGATGATGAAGGTGTGTGTTTGTGTTTATGTGTGTTTGTGTGTGTTTGTGTGTGTTTGTGTGCGTGACCCCTCATGTTGCAGGTCACTATAGGACAGTAGTGCAGATTGCATGAGCCTATGCAGGTTGTTTTCACCAGTGCCAGTAGCTCCGGTTTGACATTTAAGTATAAGTATATAATTAGTATATTTGTTATTTTCAAGAATTTCAAGACACGAATGTGTTTTTACCTGTGCACTGCTGACTCTGTTCTACTGGCTCTTCAACCTCGTCCATTGTGTGACTGACGCCGCCAACGTGAACATGACGTTTACATCGCTCTTACTGCGCGCGTTCTGTTTGGGTTTCCGGCAATGAGTGGAACTACCGAAATAAAAAAATAAATAAATGTGTTTTTTGTGTTAGAGAGTTAGAGATTAAAAATGAGATTAACGCGATTAAAAAACAAAATATGACTGTAATTAATTAATCACAATTAACGCAATAATTTGACCCCCCTAATTACAATATAACACAATATAAACTTTGTGTGCATTTGTTAAGCACCAAAACAAAAGTGATGGAAATGAAAGGCTGATAGACACTGAACTAAAAAGTCTAAATCTCAATGTGGTTGTCAAACGAATGGCAACTCAGATACTACTTTGAACATAATTACATAAATTGGAGAAAACATTTTCCTTTTCATCGTACAGTTTGTATTGATACTTTGCAGTTGTTTGTTCAGTTTGTCACGCTCACCTTTTTGTTGAAAATCAAACTCCAGTGCTGTTTCAATCTTTTTTTTTTTTTTTTTTTATGTTTTTATTGTGGTACTGAAATAGGTGTCCAATATCGAGTCCTTTTCGTTTATATCTGAATCAGAGTCCTGCACCGGGTTGGGTACCCGCAGGCAAATAGTTGTTGAAACAGGTGGGTTTTAATGTTCTGGAATTTTACGGGCGGGTATGTGGGTGGGTAGTGATTACACACAGGCGGGTCAGGACTAAACCTGGACTACACCAGGACTAATCTTGACTCAAGAGAGAGATAACCCTGAACTCTGTGCGGCGCAGAGCTAAAGTCCTAAAGTCCTAAAGTCCAAGCCTGTCCCAACAGTGAGTCCTGGTTCAGTTCTGGTTTAGTCCTCCTGGTTCAGTCCTGGAATCAGTCCTAGGTTAGTCCTGGGTTAGTTCTGGTTTAGTCTGGCGTAGAAGAGCAGCATCTTGATCAATGTTTCTTCTGCTCAGTAAATAATCCCTGTGAAGTGATGATGTATTTTTGACGTCTGTGAATTGGTGTTTGTACTGAAGAAAGTGTAACCATTTCATTTCATTTCATGATTGTAATTCTTGAAGTCGAAATGTTTCAATTCATATTCTGATGGATGCTACAGTTAGATAGATAGATATAATCCTGGGTTAACGGACGGGTGTGGTGCTGTACTGCGCAGGTGGGCCCGGTCAAGCAGAAGTAAACAGCAAGGCCAAAAATTCAAGTTAATGCATCTGATATAAAAATGTATTGAACAGATACATATGTACTCTAGTTTATGAAACTGTTGACCTTTTTTCTGTACCATTTTTGGTTCTAAAGTTCCATACGTTTTAAACAGACCATGTATGAAACATGGAACAAAAATTATTTCCCAAATTTTAAAGACCTGCAAATCATGTAAATAAATGGATGTATTTCATCATATCTTGTGTTATTCCATCTTTGAACTGTTGATGAAGGTACATGATTTTTCAAAAAAAATGTATTTAAAATGATAAAAATTTGCTTGGAAGGACTGACATATTTTATAGAAATAGTTTCCTTTCATTTTGAAGTAATATTAAAGTATTCAGAAGAAAAAAGTGACAAATTATGTAAAATCATGCACCTTCTACTTCTACCCTCCGTTACTTTTCCCTCCGTTACCATGACCTTTCTTAATAAAAAATCTCATGACTCAAAAAGTAAGAGGTTTTTCAACCTAATCTTGTACCATGGTAGAAAACTATATGAAGCAAATATTCTAACCAGTTTGTTAAGGATATGGAAGTGAGAACCAAGAGTTATCACTGTTTGGATTTATTGCCCAAAAAGTGCTGCATATTTCATTCCCTCCGTTACTAACATGAGTTTTTTAACAACTTCAAAGAAGGTTGCAGGTTTAAGTTTACCCTGTTGGAGTGTCATCTCTTTCCTACATTCTGATACTTTACTTATTTCAATAGTCCCTCTAGTTTCTGAATAAGAGCTATTTGCTATTTGAATGTCAAAAATCTGCCCCTGTTTCCCTCCGTTACCACTTGACTGGATCCAGATGTGGGCGAGTGCGAGTCTCCAAAAATTGACCCATGCAGCACTCTGATCTGAATCACTTGAGGATTTTTTTGTGTCATGACAACAGTCACCTGAGTATTTGTCATTGATAATAACTAAAGACAATCACAATGTGTCTTCTTTAAAGGGCCAATATTACACTGTTTTCTGATCTGTTATGATGTTGTTTTCTCGTCACAAACAGACCTGGAGTTGTGTTTTGTTTCATTCACACATTTTTTAACACAAACCCTGCACATTTAGGCTGAGTTCTTCTCTCAAACACACAGGAAGTGCTCCACTCCAAACACCTTCACTAGAATCATTTGGATGATTTTAGTCCTGGAATTGCCAATCTCTCCTAAACAAGAAAGAAAACTACCACTACATGACATCATAACTTGGAACAGAGCATTTTGAGCTTTAGAAATGTAGACTAATACTAAAGCTTTACTCAGGAAAGTTTTTGGAGGAGGCAACAATATAATAACATGTCCAAAAGCTCACGAGAGTCCATGTTGTGTGATATGGGACCTTTAATACCAGGGGATGTGCTTTCACTGAAGTCTGTCTTTTTAAAATGCAGTTCTCATGTTTTTTTTTTTTGTTTTTTTTTTTTTCTCAAGCTTGTGTCCGTCCTGCGTGAGGTGAAGTATTTAGAGTGTGGTCAGACCGAGTCCATCCCTGAGGCCGCTCTACAGCTCTACTCCAGCAGGGAGCAGCTGTGGAAGTATGTGTCTAACCTGGAGATCACCACCAACCACTACAACAAGGTACTGCCCCTGCTCGGCACGGCACAGACTTTCTCTAACGTGTAAAGAAATATTATACTCCAGCGTCTTGCCTTTTCTCTTCTACTCTCAGATTACGACTTTATTTTACAACATCTTCAACAGAATATTTAGTGCGTTGAGCCCTCCATGTGTTTGACTGTGTGCAGGTGATGCGCTCAGTGTTGGATGTGGAGCGGCCCCTGATCCAGGCTCAGCTCGGGGCCCTGGACTCGGAGCTGAACAGAGCTGAGGAAAACCTGCACTGGAACTCTGAAGGTCTAACACACAAATAACACACAGCAAAGTAACACCATGATGGAGCTGAGAAACACACATCGTTCATTTTACATTTCTTTCTTTAAAACTTTTTCTGGTGAGATGTCAGTGTCTTGTTCAGAATGTTACACAGTGTGGAATTAACCTGATCTATTTCTACTGTTGGGCAAGTGACTTTAAAACTGTAATGCGTTATTTATTACTTATTACTGTCATTTCAAAGTCATTCGTTACATTACAATATTACTGCATTTAAAATGTAAGACATTACATTACTATTACATTACTTTAAGTTACTCTCTCCAAATTAAACCAGGTCTAAACCAGGACTAAACCAGAGCTGAATCAGGACTGAACCAGGACTATAACAGGACTAACCTCGGACTGATTCCAGGACTGAAGAGGAGGACTAAACCAGGACTGAACCAGGACTAAAACAGGACTAAACCAGAACTGAACTAGGACTAAAACAGGACTCACTGTTGGGACGGGCTCGAAGGTGACCGCAGGAGAAAGGACCTGCTCTGCTCCGCACCTCACGGAGGTCGTTCTTTACGGACCCCCTGCTGCGGGGGCTCGCGGTCCTGATTTCAGCAACTATTTGTGGGGACCCGACCCGGTGCAAGACTCTGCTACAGCACGTAACTTCTACCTTCTTCAGTGTGTCCAGAAGTCCAACTTTTTGTGCGACAGTTTGCATTGACCGCAGGAGCCTTGGTCAGTTTTGTCGACGTTGTGGGTTTTGTCGGGGAGAAAACTTGCAAACATACAGCACTTCAGAATCACACTGCTAGAGATTGAAAATGTATTTAAATTTGGCAGCTGAACACATTCTGTACTGTACAGGAGAGTGGAGTCCCTTAGCCAATCAGGACGCAGCGGGAGGAACGCAATACATGTTCCTACACTGTAAAAACAAATGGAATGCAAAATTGCACACACAAAAAAATCAGGGAAACAGCGAGACTGTGAAAAGTGAACCGCGATAGAGCGAGGGACGTCTGTAAACCAGGTCTAAACCAGAACTAACCCAGGTCTACACCAGGTCTAAACAGTGTGGACTTCTGTGTCGGTCCTTTCGCCCGCGGTTACTTGAAGGTCTACGTGGGCGCGTGTTCACGGTGTTTCACTGCTGCTGAGATCGCGGTGATTTTAGCGAATTTGTATGAAGAAAAACCCACCACTTCAATCCAGGTTAAAAAAGCATTGTAACGTGCGTTACTCACATTTGTACCGAGTAAAATATTACTATTTTTTCCCCTGTAATGCCTTACATTACTGCGTTACAGCAAAAAGCAATGCATTGCTGTAATTCGTTACTTTTATAACGCGTTACTCCCAACACTGTCTATTTCCAGCTGATAGTAAGAATGTTGTACATGTTTTACACATGATACCTGCACTTGTGAAAGAACACAGGCATGACAAGTTCAGTTCTATTCTGGGTAACATCCCTGGCAAAATAATGACATTTCCATAGAAAAAAAAAAAAGTATATTTATAGTACTAGTAGAAGTAGTAGTTTTGCACAGTAACATATGTAGTAGAATGTACTACTTCTACTTTTTCTCAGTTTAATTTTAAACTAGGTTATTATTTATTTGAATAGACAAATATACTTTATTCTGTTTCTGCTATGCACTTATAAAAAATACAGAGCAGTCAAAAGTCTGGACACACATTTTTCTCATTTATATTTGTCTATTTTCATGATTTACACTGTGGATTTTCACTGAACACATGTGGAATAAATATAATAAATAATATAATAAACAAAAGATCAACTCAACTCAAAATTTGTTTCAGAGTTCAGATTTTTCAAAAGATCCTTCACCTTTTGCTTTGTACTTTGGGGTTTTCTTGACCCTGACAAGGCACAGCTGTGAAGTAAAAACCATTTCAGGGACTTCATCATGAAGCTCATTGAGGGAATACAAGGGTTTGTAGCTCCATCAACAAAGTAAAGGCTACTACTGGTTACTTTAATGATTTGCATAAAAATAACATAACATATTACATGTATGTAATATGTTGTGTATAAAACATGTAGAAGGTAGTGGATGTGGAGAGGATGTGTCCACAACAGTGACAGGATGTGTCCAAACCTTTGAATGGTAGTGTAAACCAGGTCTGGGTCTACAGAGCTGCAAAAGGGTTACACTCTTATTTTATGAGTGTGAAATAATGACACTTAATGTAAAACTATTGTCTTTGTTCATGTGAAACCCTGACACCTTCAGTCAGTTTGTACCTGGGCCTGGTGTATGTTGAACGTTCTGTCATGTTCTTGTAGATGTGTGGCCCTACATCCAGTCTGCGAGGGACTGTGTGTGTGAGCTGGAGTCCAGGCTGCTGAGGAGCAAAGAGAACATAGAGGAGATCCAGAGGAACATACGAGTGTGGAGCAGCCCCATGTTTGAGCGCAGAGAGGGCAGGAGAGACACCCTGCTGTGTGTGCACGAGCACACTGACAGAGTACAACGCTTCTACAGCACAGTGCGCTCCTCTGGAGACAAGATCCACTTCCTCCTCAAGGTGCACTTCACACAGACACACTGTCACACATACACACAGACACACTGTCACACTGTCACACAGTCACACGATCACACTGTCACATGATCACACAGTCACACTGTCACACAGACACACAGAGACACAGTCACACAGACACACAGTCACACTGTCACACAGACACACAGTCACACTGTCACACAGACACACAGTTACACAGAGACACAGTCACACAGACACACAGTTACACAGAGACACAGACACACAGTCACACAGACACACAGACACACAGTTACACAGACACACAGTTACACAGAGACACAGTCACACAGACACACAGAGACACACAGTACACACAGACACACACAGACACACAGACACACAGACACAGACACAGTCACACAGACACACAGACACACAGTTACACAGACACACAGTTACACAGAGACACAGTCACACAGACACACAGACACACAGACACACAGTCACACAGACACACAGACACACAGACACACAGACACACAGTTACACAGAGACACAGTCACACAGACACACACACAGTTACACACACAGTCACACAGACACACAGACACACAGTCACACACAGACACACACACACACACAGACACACACACACAGACACACAGACACACAGTTACACAGACACACAGTTACACAGACACACAGTCACACAGACACACAGTCACACAGACACACACAGTCACACACAGACACACAGACACACAGTTACACACAGACACACAGTTACACACACAGACACACAGTCACACAGACACACAGACACAGACACACAGTCACACAGACACACACACACAGACACACAGTTACACACAGACACACAGTTACACAGAGACACAGTCACACAGACACACAGTCACACAGACACACAGTCACAGACACACAGACACACACACAGACACACAGTTACACAGACACACAGTTACACAGAGACACAGTCACACAGTCACACAGACACACAGTCACACAGACACACAGTCACACAGACACACAGACACACAGTTACACAGACACACAGTTACACAGAGACACAGTCACACAGTCACACAGACACACAGTCACACAGACACACAGACACACAGTCACACACTCACACTGTCACACAGACACACAGTTACACAGAGACACAGTCACACACATTGTCATCATTACCATAAAACGCATTTCTGAACCTATTTTACAAAAGTGACTTACCTGTTGATATACTCTGGTTGTTTCCTCTCTCATTGACTCTCTCAAAGTTGTATTTGGAGTGATTTGTGCATGTTTGATCTTTAATCTCTTATTTTCAAGATTTTGCCCATCAATATACAGATAGACACATATAAATAGAATAGGTTTACTTTAATACTTTCTTTTTATGTTGTTGTTATTAAATTCTATTCCATTCCATTCTAATGGAGTATCTGAATAATCTGACAGATACATTATGTCTTTATATTGATCACATAAATGGTCAACACTAACAGCTGCAGGTTACTTAATAGTATATTATACACTTGTATGGTAAGAGATTGAAATAACATGGTGACAGTGAGGGATGGATGTATTTACAGATCTGTTTCCATTAGGGATGGGCATGATTAATCGATGAATCGATAATTGATCATTAAGAATTTCATCGATTACGTTCATTTTAATCGACAAACCGAATGTAGGTTGCTGTGTGTATCGTGACCAAACAGGTGTGTACATGTAGCTCTCTGCACTCAGAAGGAGCGAGACACAAACAGTCGGTCAGTCTGCAACGCAAATGTGTATTTAACGATGACTTGTACAAGAAATTCCACGCTTTCTGTTGCGTTCGGGACAAGTGTGAGTCCATGTGCACAGTGTATAAAGCAGCACATATGTTTCGGTGTCCAGTGGGAAAAAGTTTTGCCAGGTGAGAGTCGCTCAATGTCGATGACGAGGCCCCACCCCCTCCCCCCGTACGATGTCCTGGTTTTGACAAACGCAAATCTGGTCACACTAACCTGTATTCACCTGAGTCATGTCTTTTAATCCAACAGAAGTTGAACCACATCAGCGACACAAGAGCTGTAGTTTTATCTTCGCTTAGTTTCTGCAAATTAGCGATGCGGTTTTAAGTTTAGTTTTTGTGAGAGTTGCGCAAAACTGCGTTAAACACATTATAATGTCAAACGGATTGATGTGGCTCTAGAGTCGTTATGTTTATATGTCGTAAAGTTGAATTTATGTATGCAGATTAGTAGTGCAGATACTAATAATAATGATGATCATTTTAATATAAACACGTTAATGATTAATCGATAATCAATCGTTAATTCTTCCGACGATCGATTAAGAAAATTTCATCGAATGCCCATCCCTAGTTTCCATATTGGTAACATGAAAATACTAACATGTTTCAGATCATTTGCAGTGGTCATTCCAAGTTAAAGTTCAGACTACATGGCCAGATACAAACACACACACGTCTCCAAACAAAGGTTCACAACAGAAGTGTGTGTGTTTTCAGAACAACCTGCAGCTCCTGGGAGCAGACGAGTCTTCTGATGAGTGGAGGGACTACGTGGAGTACATCGATGACATGATCATAGACGGCTTCTTCAACTGTATCCATGCATCACTGCAGTTCCTCCTGGACAACACAGGTGTGACACCAGCACACACACATGTCCTTGACACGTCTTTTGATTCCCCCCTTTGAAATTTGTAGAGAATAATAAGAAAATAATAATAATGTGTATAACTTATAGATAAATATGATCTACTGTAAACCACATATTATCTGATTATCTAATTTACCCAAGTTACAGAAAATGACTTCTGTGTCCTGACCCTCTGTTTTAAATTTATTTGCTACAAAATCAGTTTGATTCAGGCCTGATGAATGGACTGATGCCTACAAAGCTTTTAGGGAGACACTGTCAGTAATCTCTGGCCCTGTGTGGAGAGGTGGAGCTGTGGACTGTTTGATGAAAATATTGAAGGTTTCAAACCAGAGCCAAACAGTAAGACTCCCACAGGACTTCCTCGCTGGCACGAGATGGGTCGGCTGGTTTAGGACTGGGACGTGGTTCAAGTTGTAGTGGAGCAGTGCCAGACTTCCTCCTCCTCTTTCCTCTTTTCTTTAGATAAGGAAGGAGGAGGCTCTGTGAGGCAGATGTGCGCACACAAGTTCAGTATCAGACACGACTAAAACTATGGTTTTGAAACTTGGAGGAAAAATTAAAATTATTTAGATTATTCTGAATTATGATTTTGGATTGAATTTAAATCTACAGATGATAACAATACAGCCTTGTTCTTGTAATGTGCTTTATATGTCTGCACAGTTATTTCCTGAATGACAAGGATAATTTTATTCATGGATATTTAACATGATAAAATCAGTCACATATCCAGAGCACATGCTTTTACTGAAGAAGGATTGGTTGTGATAGTGTAATAGTACTTAAGACCGGTCTTGGTCTTGAAACCAGCCTCAAAACTGTTTTTTTACAGTCTTGGTCTCATCTCAGACTTGATTGGGTTTGGATTTGGTCTTGTCTTGGTCTTGAGGTCTGACACTCGACTAGTGATCAAATGGAGGTAGATTTATAAAACACACTGATTTGATTATTTGTGCCAAAATAACTCTAAAATACAAATAAATATAGAAAATGTCAATGATGGTCTCGATTTGGTATCAATGAGCCGTAGTCTTGATCTTGTCTCAGTCTTGGCCTTTCAAAAATCTTGGTCTTGTCTCAGTCTCGACCCTCAGAAGTGTTGGTCTTATCTTGGTTTCGACCCTCAGAAGTCTTGGTCTTGTCTTGGTCTTGACCCTCAGAAGTCTTGGTCTTGTCTTGGTCTTGACCCTCAGAAGTCTTGGTCTTGTCTTGGTCTTGACCTTCAGAAGTCTTGGTCTTGTCTTGGTCTTGACCCTCAGAAGTCTTGGTCTTGTCTTGGTTTCGACCCTCAGAAGTCTTGGTCTTGTCTTGGTCTCTGGACCCTGTTTTTCTCAGACTGTTCTTCGTTCTTCGATCAGTGTGCTCTTGACTACAACACTAGGCTGTGGACTCAACTGTGTGAAGATCTGGTCTCAGGACACCGTTCATGTGAATTGCCTATTTTTTTGTGACAATAAAAGTTAAAAAAAACAAAAAACATCATTGACAAATTGAAATGACTGAATTTGCACACATGGATAACAATCTTTTTGTTTATTTATTTGTGTGAACATTTGTTACAAACAAAAATGAGAAGTCATAGTTAGAAACGCTGTGATGTGATGACAACAGAAACATTTAGTGATGAAGAAAAAAGAAAATTCTGAAGCCAAAAATGTACAAAACTATATCTCCCAAACTCATGTTTCCTCCCAGCCCTATTCCCCAGTCAAAATACACAATGATATATGTTTTTATTTTACATGGTACATATAGAATATTTCTGCCTGGTTTAACACCAGTCTATTTTTGCTACTTGTTTTGAATTGAAAAGTTGTCATTTATATTATTCTGTTATATTGTGATGTGTGACCTCCTGTGTCCAAATCATTTCCCTTGTGGATCAATAAAGTCTAGCCTCTAGTGAGATATTTCTGACCAGGATTGTGTCTTTAAAAGGATGTCATGTCAAAACCCAATAGCGTTATGAAGACAATACTGACGACCTCTCTCTCCTCCACTCAAACCCTCCTCCTGCCCGCTGTGTCCAGACAAGAACACCGTGGCCCCTCTGATGGAGCTGCAGCTGGATCTGAACGTTCCAGAGCTGGTCTTCAGTCCGTCTCTGGAGTACGGAGCGGGAGACAGCCTTGTGGAGCGTGTGGAGGCTCTCGTCACCGACATCTTCAGAGTGTCGTCTTTGGTCCCCCGTGTCGCCCAGCACTGCTCTGTCCCTCATTACCAGGTACAACTTGTCTACTCTTCAATGTCCTAAATTACACAAAATTGACTCTGAGCTTTCAGTCATTTTAGAATGTAGTTTCCTCTTCACAAACACAGGTGGAGTTGTGTTTGTTTTATTCACACATGTTTGAGTCACCATTTAATATTAGCCTGTCTGTATTTTCCAAAGCTCAAAATGCATCCAAATGATTCTAGTGAAGGTGTACGGAGTTTAAAAACACAGTGGAGCACTTCCTGTATTACCACATGACATCACAAGGTGGAAAAGAGTGTGTTCGGTTTGAGAGAAGAACTCTGCAGGGTTTGTGTGTTAAACATGTGTGAATGAAACAAAGCACAACTCCAGGTCTGTTTGTGATGAAAAACTAGATTATAACAGAGATTGGAAAATAGTGTAACAAATGTATTTTTGAACTGGTTCTTCTTTTTATTATAATTTTTTAATGATTATTCTTTGTATTCATTTACATTGTATATTTAATTAATTTATCTACTACTATCAATTTTACTTACTTGTTGTTTGGCCAGTGGGTGGGGGGTTGTGGGGTATTGACATTCAGATGTGTCCTCCTTACTGTCATACCTGTAATGGTACTCAATACAGTGCACTCTGTTTGTTATTGTTAAAAATGTTCAATAAACAAAGTTGGAAAAAAATAAAATAAAAAATAAAATAGAGTAATATACTCCCTTTAAATATGTCCAAAAGAACAAAAGAATGTCACAGTACATTTCAGTCTCACACATAGACACTATTGATACTTTAGAGCTGATGTCATCAACATTCTTTGGGTTTGTGTTTCTAACTGGAGGCACTGCTCTGCCAGACGCTCTGTTAGACTTTAATCTGAGTTTTATTGGAGCACAATGTCACCAGAAAGAAGTGACTTAGTTGGAGGTGAGCAGGTGAGCTGACTTGTGCTGTTAAACAAGTCTCTCTCACAAATAAAATGACAATTACACGCATGCACAAACAGAAAATCTGACTCTTAAACAGGACCTTGAACGCTCACACTCATCACAGGCTCCTTTTGTATTTTCTCTTGAGTTTCTCTTAAAACAAACAAAAAAGTTTTTGTTAATGTTTGCATTGTGTCACCATAGTAACTGCTGAACATTTCACCATAGTCATACAGGTAGAATACCCCCAGCGTGATGTCACTGCAAAGTATCTTTAAGATTTTACTTTAGGTTTTGTTCACATTCTACAGTTGGATGATGTCATCATTTCAGAGGGCAGACAGGAGCCTTTGTCATTCTATGTTGAAGATTCATTTTTTTATTCACAAATATTGTTTCTTATTATGCTTGGGGGGGTTGTGGATTTGGTCCATAAATCTGCCAGATTCATCTTATTAAATGACAAGCATCAGTCTTTTTGGTTGAACAATGGTGCCACTTTCTGAAGCAATTCTGAAAACAAATGATCATTTTACTTTAGTTTATTTAAAGTGACAGAAACACATGTGTGTCAGTTTTAATTTGTTAAATTTAATATGCCCGTCAATTCAAACCACTGATGTACTGTGAACTGCCTTTGCTACATTCAGAACAGTGATTCCAAACCAGAGGATCCTCAGGGCCTCCTGAAAACAGACACAAACTAGACAGTTTGAATTATAATCAAGAGATGTAACAGAGCCTATAAATAATATAATAAATACTATTATGTGATGTCTTTATATCTATCCATCTAATATCTATGATAATAATAATGAAACACTTTGAAAAGCTTATTGAGACTGCGGCTGGTGTCTTCCACATTCCCTGGGGTATGAAGCTTGTTTAACACAATCTGACAACAAAGTACTGACTTAAAAGAAACTACAACACATGAGCTGATTTAGATCACTGAAATACTCCAACATGCACAGATATCTCTTCAGACATGTTTTAAATGAGGGAACAACACTATAACATGCTTTGCATAATATCTCCACTTTAACTCATGTCTAACTATGATAAATATTCACCACGTGTACTTTCCTACCAAACCAAGTCAGAAAAACATCAAAACCTGTCACTAGCACTTTAAAGGATCTGTATTACACTATTACATATTCTGATCTGTTATAATGTAGTTATAATGTACTAACACACAAACCCTTCACAGACTACACCTTCCACCTTGTGATGTCATGTGGTGATACAGGAAGTGTTACATGTTAAACCTTCACTAGAATCATTTGCATCACTTTAGTCCTGGAATTGCCAATCTGTACTGAACTTAAAATAAAAGGAGCTGTTACCTTGAAAACTACCACTACATGACATCACAAGGTGGAACAGAGCATTTGAGCTTTGGAGATGTAGACAGACTAATAATAAAGAGTTACTCCAACATGTGTGAATAAAACAAAACACAACTCCAGTGTGTTTGTGAGGTAACAGCATGATGACCTGACTTTAAGATCGTGAGAGTTCATCTTGTGTACTCTAGGACCTTTAAAGGAGCAGTGATCTTAGAGGATCTGGTTTCTCATGAATCCGTCTGTCTGCAGGCTGACATGGAGGACATGGCTGACCTGCAGGACATGCGCACACGGCTCATGTCCCGTGTGCACAGTGTGGTGGCAGCGTGCGGTGAGTACAGGAGCTCTCTGGAGCCGTACAGTTACCTGTACGTGGAGGAGCGCAGGGAGTTCATGAGGCAGTTCCTCCTGTATGGACGTGTGCTGACCAGCCACGAGATGGAGATGTACGCAGACTCCACTGTCCCGGAGAGCCCGCCCACTCTGGACAACTTCAGAGAGCAGGTGGACAGGTACGTGTGAGCGGAGACTCGTGCTTGTGTTGTGTGTTTTGTGAAGCTTTAAATCTGCTTCACAACAAATGAAAATAAGATCATCATGTGTTGCTCATGTGCTGCTGTTACTCGGTCGAGGCCAAACTCCAGGAGAAGATAAAGGACAGTTAGCATCTCCCCTCACATCTTCACATGTCTAAATTAAAACACACCACATCAGATCTCAAAATGAACTTAATACAAGTCAGGTATGATTACAGATGTAAATACAGGTGAAATAATAACTAATGGACACATAAATCATGAGATTACAACAGATGAATGACCTCTTCCCAATAACAGATTTACAAAATGAAGTGGTCAGACCCTGAATTTATACCAAGGGCAAGATGAAGGTAACATGAAGACGAAACAAAAACACAGAAGAGGAGTGTGGAGGACCAAAGCTGCTCAGTAAATCAAACACCTGGGGGTATTCCACGAAGCGCGCTAAAGTGAAAGTCTGGTTTATTTGGCCAATCCAGTTCTGTCAAAGCCTCAGTTCTGTTTCACCAAAGTGACTAAGGAGAGGTGACACTGAGCTGCAGAAGTGACAAGCACCAGAAACAAACCTGCTCAGGACCAGACTCATTGTCAAGATTATTTTAGGTCTGTCTCTGAAAACGTCTAAAGAAACAGTTTAAACTGTTTAAAAAGTGACTTTTGTAGTTGAGACTTTTACAGTCCATATACTCCTGCACATCAAAGTTTTGACCCATTTTCATGATGTTGATGCTTCATTGCTTTGGTCTTTTCAGAATCACCGCGAGCACAAAGCACATGTTAAACTTGAGGACTGAGTCGGGCTTTGGTTGATTTCTGTCATGGAACGAGTTGAGGCTGAAGCTAAAGCTGGAGCTAAATTCAGCTCAGGATTTCAGGATAAGCCTGAATTTGTTAAACCACTTTGATGGAACACCCCCCTGGTGTGAGCAAAACAAAAGGACAGTTTTATGTTGCTACAAAGTTGTATAATATAGAGCACATAAGAGCACATTGTACAGACACATGGGAGTTTTATCACAATACTTCTATTCAAACTGGATTTCAATACTAAGGAACAGACTTGCAGGTATTGATAAAAAAAATAACATTAAATTTAGGGCTGGGCAAAAATAAAAAAATAATCGCTTTAATCACATTAGTTCAAGTGCGATTAATCACGATTAATCACGTGCAAAACCAATTAATGAATGAAAAAGTAGCGTATAGCACACTTTTATTGGAAATGTAAATGAAAGAGCCGTACATTTGTTGTGCAAACAGCATTTCTTTCAGAGTTGAACCCTCAGAACCTTCAAGTTATTCTGAAGGCTCAAGAAAAAAATATTGAATGAATTTTTGTACTACTAATATATTTTTTCAATATTTTTTATTCAGTGAGTAATAAACACTACACTAGTAATAATTTCTAGATCATTGTTATAAACTTGAACTGATATTTCTTGGGAAATAAAGGTTATTTAGGACCTTTTATAAGTTAATATAATGGAATGGAAATGGACCAATCACAGTTTTTCTTCCAGTGGTATCTGGGTAAATCAGTGACTCTCCCTGCAGCACTGAACCGGCTGCTGGAACGAAGTTTGAGATTGACAGTTGTCTGAGCCAATCATATTTTATTGAGTTATGGGCGGGATCATATCACCAAATCTTCCGGACCTTCATGTAATAGCATTATGTAAACAAGAAAAGCACTCAGAGAGCGCAGACCTCCGCCAAGGACTACCCCCATTTTTTATATAAATTGCGATAAAATCAGTCTTCTGGATCAGATCCAGATCAGCCTTTGGAATATGAAAGAGGATCCCATTGTCCATCCCTGAGTCAAATTTCATGGGGTTTGGTCAATAATTAACCGAGATATTGAGAAACAAAATTTTTGGCCCCATTTACCGCAATGTTAACTAAAATTTCCTTGGCGGAGATAACAAGACCGCAGCGACGAAAACCACACTGGACACGTCTGTGTGGACACTTCAGGGGGCATCTGGAAGAAGGAGAAGACAAAGACCCGTGAACCGGAGCACGCGGCCCGGTCGAAGCAAGGAGCCTGCGGAAGCTCAGAGCCACGGTCGGTCCGGCCCGGCCGCGGGCTCAGCCGCGGGTTCCGGCTCTGCAGTCTGGCCTCACCCGCGGCTCGCGGAGGCTCGGATCTCACATCATCTCACGTGGTCAGAAAAAAGTGAAAAAAGTGTAAAGAAAATATGTCAAACTTAAAGAAACGCTCACGGTGGACTTTTTTAGAATAAAAGCCAGTGAGAAACAGACATTTAAAAAAATAAAAATAAAATAAGTAAATAATAAAAACTGCGTTAACAGTGTTACAATAATTGTCGACGTCAATGAATTGATTGGTTAACGCAAAATGAACGCGTTAATGTGCCCGGCCCTCATAAAATAAAATAATAATAATAAAGCAGTTGTTATTTAGACCAGTGATTCTCAAAGTGTGGTGCCTGGGCTGTCTCTGGTGATTAATGTGGAGTATTTGTTTTGTCCTTCCTTGGGTTCATCATTACTTAGAAACAGCTCGAACAATCTGGTGTCTAGTCTCATTTATTACAGAACATTTAGTCCAGGCTTTAGATCTTTCAGTATTTGAAAAATACTATTGACAAGTTTGTGTGAAAAGTTTGAAAACCACTGATTTAGACAATACAACGCCAATTTCAACATTAAATGCTAGTATTTTTTTTATTTTTTTTATTTTTTGTGCTCTTATATGTGTGTAATGGTCAGTGGTGCAGTAGGTTCATGTTGGTCCATGTGTGTGTACTAGTCTATGTGCTGGTATACTTGATCTGATACAGCTCAACATCATTCTAAAGACATTCAGGAAAGGTTCATTTCTGTCCTGTGAATGAGATTTTTTGGTATTGATAGCTGCTCAAATGATTATCTGGTTTTGATACTTTGAAACTGCAGTCTTGTAGTAGTTTTCTCACACTAAGTCATTTTATTTTTAGGAGAGAGAGAAAGAGAATGGAGACTTGAAAATACATGTCATTACAAAAATACAGTACAGGTATTCAAGTTGTTAGTTGTTCCCAGTTTTTGTCAATACCTTTGAATGAATCCCGATGTCACTTGTCTGTATAAGTTGTGAGTAACTGTTAGTTGGTTCTTGTCGTGTAGTTATGAGAAGATCTACGAGGAGATCCAGGCTCTGCAGCCCGTGCACGTGTTTGACGGTTGGATGAGAGTGGACGCTCGCTCCATGAAAACTGCTCTGCTCAACATCGTCAAGAAATGGAGCTTCATGTTCAAGCAGCACCTCATGACCCACGTCACCAACAGGTCAGGACACACTCTGTACTCTATACTCCTACACACTACTACTGTACAGTACTCCTACACACTACTACTGTACAGTACTCCTACACACTACTACTGTACAGTACTCCTACACACTACTACTGTACTACTGTACAGTACTCCTACACTGTACTACTACTATACAGTACTACTACTACTACACACTTACTACTGTACAGTACTCCTACACACTGTACAGTACTCTACTACTACTACTATACAGTACTTCTACACACTACTACTACAGTACTACAGTACTACTACTACTACACTACTACTACTGTACAGTACTCCTACACACTACTACTGTACAATACTCCTACACACTACTACTGTACAGTACTCCTACACACTACTACTGTACAGTACTCCTACACACTACTACTGTACAGTACTCCTACACACTTCTACTGTACAGTACTCCTACACACTTCTACTGTACAGTACTCCTACACACTACTACTGTACAGTACTCCTACACACTACTACTGTACAGTACTCCTACACCATACTACTATACAGTACTTCTATACTCTACTTCTGCACAGTTCTTATATACAATACTTCTATATAGTACTTATATACAGTACTTCTGCAGTATATAGTACTTCTTTACAGTACTTCTATATAGTACTTCTATACAGTACTTCTACACAGTACTGAATAGAAACCAAGAGTTTAGTTGCAATTTTCACTTTTGATTCATTCACCTGAGGCGAGGCACTGCAGGTGAATGGGAAACTTGTGTTGTTGTAGTTGTAGCACTCAGTCTTTCATCATGTAATGTTTTCCTATAAAAATAAGACATTTCATGTGTGAAAACTGTAAGAAGTGACAGTTTGTGGGATATTTACATCTCAAAAATAGCTTCATTTTGTGGTCATGTTGGATACTGAAATATACATGAAGTATTTTGGATATCTTATTAATTATTTGTGACTTAATCTCACTGAAAAAAATGCTGAAGAATTCAAATTTCATAAAACTTTTTGGAGATAAACTGGAATAAATCAGACATTGAATTATATTACAGAGAGAGAGAGAGAGAGAAAACAAGTTTTGTAAACATTTTAATATGTATATTATAATAAAGGTATTATAAAGGAAGATGCTATTTTAAGTGGTTATCCTTATGTTCCTCTGGGAGAAAATGGAAAATGACTTTTGAATTATCCATGTCCCATAGAACTCTATGGACACAAACTGAATAAATGAAATCTTCCATTGTTAGTGATTGAGTGACTTTTTCTGTTGCTACACCAATGTCCATATTTTGCCTTTAATGTCAAGTATCTATAACTTTAAGTATCAACCAGTACCATGGCACAGACAGAAAATATGATTTATTTCCTTTAAACACAAATATGTAAAAACTGTTATTTTAAATTTTGTGTAACTACAGAACAATTTTGAAAATATGTTTTGTTAATGTTTTCTGTAAACATTGTCCAGTCTCACACCAATTAAAAGACTAAAGTGGGAAAACTATTGAGATGATATGTTTGAATCAATATCCCATCCATCAAAGTATCCGTATCAGTATCAGCACTGATATCTGATGCCTGATGGTGCATGACTCCTCATGAGTAAACACCAGAGTGACTAAGGACTAAAAGGGTGGAGCTGAAGGTTCAGAGTGAAACATGTTCCTCACATATGGTTCAGAGTCAGATGCAGGGTCTTTAAAACTAACAGTAATGTGAAATGCTTGTCCCGTGTGTGCAGCCTGTCTGAGCTGGAGCTCTTCATCAGAGAAACAGAGCAGGGCCTGGAGCAGCGTGTGGACGAGGGAGACTATAACGGCCTGGTGGGGCTCATGTCTCACCTGCTGGCCGTCAAAGACCGACAGGGCTCCACAGACGCCATGTTTGAGCCCATCCAACAAACCATCGCTCTCCTCCGGGACTATGACCAGGAGCTGCCTGACGTGGTCCACAAACAGCTGGAGGTAGTAACACCTTCTGTCCTGGAGCTGAACGCACCACATGGTTTTATATTACACAAAGTTCTGTACTCTCCTGACTGTAGGATTTGTTCTTCTAGAAGAGCATTTTCAGTTAAGAAAATTTGAATGTATTTGTTTGGAGGATAAGCCCCTTGAAATGTTACAGCATGTTGTTTTCGAGGGGTCTTCAGAGTCACAACAGCAGAAGACAGATACAGCAGGACAGACAGGATATATACATTCAAATAAACATAGAAATAACAAAACTCACTCACACACGACTGTTAGACACTGAATAAATCAAATCTGAACAAAAACTAAGACAGAGTTCAAATATAATCACAAAATACAAAAAGATGAACAACAAAATTCAACAAAACGATTAAAAACAATTCCACAGGTTCTGTAAATATTGAACCAGAGCATTTTAAATGAAGGGACAGAAGTTAATGCACAAATCGATGAGGGAAGATTGTTCCAATCAGAGGGAACTTTATATTTAAATGAGTGTTTTTCTTTGTGTTTTTTGACTCTTGGGACAACAAAAAGGGACAGTGGAGAATAAACCTGCACAGAATGTTCTAGATTACACTGAATGTTTGGAGGATAGAAGTTATGGTATTTGATAAACGATATCACAGTCATCTGATATGGAAAGAATTAATTGTGAGATGATCTTTTTTCCTGACAGAAAAGATAAAACAATAGATGGACTGATAAAGTCATTTTAAGTGGTGTGAAAGTTTGTTATTGTTTGTATGTGGATGCTGAAAGAGAGTGACAGGTCAAGTGACAGGGAGTGACAGGTCAAGTGACAGGGAGTGACAGGTCAAGCCATAAACCAAGATGTTTACACTTTGTGTAACATTTTGTGTAGGCCAAAAATGTTACTAAGAATGTAAGTGGTAAATGGTTACACTTTTATACTTCAATTTTTTGTATCTTCAAGGCTCTCAAAGAAATTTACAACAAGGATCCACCCATTCACACACACACACACTCACACTCACACACCAGTGTACACAGACTCGTGGGGTGAGGAAGTGTCTTGCCCAAGGACATCATGACAGCATTGACCTGTGGGAAGTAGAAAGTGGAAAATTTCCTGCTCCTCCTGACCCCTCCCTGTCTGTGTGTTCTGCCGTAGTCTTCCTCAGATCCGGATGTGTTTATGTGTGTTCATGTGTGTGTTTATGTGTGTGTGTGTGTTTATGTGTGTTTATGTGTGTTTATGTGTGTTTATGTGTGTTATGTGTGTTTATGTGTGTGTTTATGTGTGTGTTTATGTGTGTTTATGTGTGTTTATGTGTGTGTTTATGTGTGTGTTTATGTGTGTTTATGTGTGTTTATGTGTGTGTTTATGTGTGTGTTTATGTGTGTTTATGTGTGTGTTTATGTGTGTGTTTATGTGTGTTTATGTGTTTATGTGTGTGTTTATGTGTGTTTATGTGTGTGTTTATGTGTGTGTGTGTGTTTATGTGTTTATGTGTGTTCATGTGTGTGTTTATGTGTGTGTTTATGTGTTTATGTGTTTATGTGTGTGTTTATGTGTGTTTATGTGTGTGTTTATGTGCGTGTGCCTCCAGGAGCTGCCAGAGAAGTGGAACAATCTGAAGAAACACACAGCACTGGTGAAACAGCAGGTGGCGCCGCTGCAGGCAGTCCAAGTGACGAGTCTGAGGAGACAGTGCGCTTCATTTGACGTAGAGCAGCACACGTTCAGAGAGCGCTTCCGACACGACGGGCCCTTCAGGTACACACACCAGTGATGATACGGGCCCTTCAGGTACACACCAGTGATGATACGGGCCCTTCAGGTACACACCAGTGATGATACGGGCCCTTCAGGTACACACACCAGTGATGATACGGGCCCTTCAGGTACACACCAGTGATGATACGGGCCCTTCAGGTACACACACCAGTGGATGATACGGGCCCTTCAGGTACACACCAGTGACGATACGGGCCCTTCAGGTACATGGTGAGAGATATGAGCAGAGCAGCAGTAGATTCTGCCACATGGTCTGTGTGCCATTAGCTCTTTTGAATTTCAATTAAGAACAAAAAACAACAGAATGGGAAAACAGTTTATTTCATTTTTTCTGCTTAAGTGTCAAACAAAACAGATTTCAACCTCTATTTCCAATGTTTAATTTGAAGTTTATTTCAGATAACACCAGTCAAAAAACAATCATTGTCCATATTTCAATTTTGATATTTTTTTCTCTTCTAGCACCAGAATTTCCAGGAACAAATAAACCAGAGAGAATAAAATATCAACACTGAAATAGTGTTGTAATTTGAAATAAACTTTAAATAAAATATTGGAAATGGAGGTCGAAATCTTTTTTCTTTCTGAAGTGGAAAAATGAAATAACAAACTGTTTTCCCATTTCATTGTTTTTCGTTCTTAACTGAAATTCAACAGAACAAATAGCACATGGACCCCACACGTCTCTCACGTCTCTCTTGTCTCTGGCATAAACCCTCTCTCCTAATACAAACATTTAAGATGGAAAAGAGGAGTCTGACAGAAGCAGTTCGAGAGAGAGGCGTGACGATTGTTCAATGGAAAGTCAAATGGAGTCAGAGTCTATAGAATAATAATGGATCAGATTTATATAGCACTTCTTTTGGACATTCAGAGAGGCTTTACAATTTGCTGCATTATTCATTCACTCCACACTTAGCAGTGGTAAGATTCTACTGCAGCCACAGCTGCCCTGGAGCAGGCTGATGAAAGCACAGCTGCCAATCTGCACCACTGATCCCGACCACCACCAATCAAGCACACATCACTTTCATATCAGGCGGTGTGGGTGAAGTGCCTTGTTAAGGACACACTGGTGCTCCACTATGGCACCTGATTTCCAGTGGTCTCCCATCCAAGTACTACCCAGGCTCAGCCCTGCTGAGCTTCTGACATCTGACTAGATCAGGCTGGTATGACCACATGGAGCTGGAAGTGCACCCATGCTCACTTCCTGTTTATAGGCTAACTATGTTCACCAACCATCCAAGAGGCCTGTTCAGTTCTCTTCAGGTTTCTTGTGGACACTACATTATATCTGTAGGGAGGAGCTAACTACACTGATACTACTCACCTGGTTGTGTACATTATCTCTATTATTGATCACATTAAAAACAGAATAATGAGAAACCATAAAATAAAAGACAAGACTGATGATTACATAAGGCAAGACCTCCCACTGAGTGATTTGTTTAGACCTACACTGCTCTACAAAGGCAGAACACCATAACATGATGTTTGGTCAAAAATTAGTTCATGTCATTTTGTTTGTATTTGAGACTCCTTTATCATGTGAATAAATATGAAAAATATTGAGCTCAAAATTGACCTTTGACCCTTATTTGTCAGTTCCTGTTCTGCTTTTGTATCATGAGACAAAAATAAGGAGTCGTGCAAAGACAAAAGGCAAAAACAGTGTATGTTTTGTGATTTAGTTCATAAATATACTTTATTTTAAAATCCAACCTCTCACCTCCTTCTTTGTGTTGTGGTCTTGGCACAGGGTCTTAAAACATTTAATAAATAAACCTTTGTATTCAATTATACTTCAATGATCTTTAAAGTGAAAGTATTGTATGTATTTATTCATACTGTACACACTGTACTGCAAAGTCACTTGTGTCAAACAGTTTGACTGTGTAAGTGTCGCCGCACGATCCTGATTAACACTAAACAGGAAATCCAAAACTCTTCTGTATCATTTAAACAAACACATGATGAGTGAAGAATCCCTCAGTCGTCCAGGTAGAATCCATGGCGAGAAGAAAATTCAGTTTGTCGACTGGACAAAAGTTAGTTTGGTTGAAGACCTTTTGCAGCTCATCCAAGCTGCTTCTTCAGTTCAGACGCTGGTGGACACTTCCTTATATCTGCAGGGAGGAGTGAACTAGTCTGAAGTTTGTTAGTTCGGTCTATTGACCTGTACAGGGTGTGGGGTCTAATTAGCAGAACAATTCATGGCCATAATGGAGCTTCCACACCTCTGGACCTGACCTGGATACACCTGTTGTTCTCTTGTTTGTTTAGATTTAGGTTTGAGGATGGAGTTGTAAATAGGAGATAGATGGGGTCTGAGACTCCATTTCTGTTTAGTGAAGGATTCTCTTTTTTAACAAAAATTCTACTTCTTTCTTAACAATTTTTGTTAAGTTTTGTTAGTTTTGCCTAACTAACTAAGAGAAACTGTAAACAAGTGTGTGTGTTATTTTCAGTTAGTTCGCTCCTCCCTGTAGACAGATATAAGGAAGTGTCCACCAGCGTCAGACCAGAAGTGAAGAAGCATCTTGGATGAGCTGCGAAACGTCTTCAACCAAACTAACTTTTATCCAGTCGACAAACTGAATTGTCTCCTTCGCCATAAACACATGATGACTGGAGCTTGGTGACGTGTTTTTCTTAGAATGGTTGGAAGTCTGGGCAAAACCAAGCAAATAATAAAGATCATGTCGGTTTCTGCCTTTTGTCTTTGCACGACTCCTTATTTTTGGTTCATGATACAAAGGCAAAGAACAGGAACTGACAAATAAGGTCAAAGGTCCAGTTTTGAGCTCAATATTTTTCGCATGCAAATTCATTCATTATAGCAACTAGTTGTGACATTTTGGGAATCCTTGCTTATTCTACTTTTATCTGAACAAAACACAAACTTTGAAGTCATTTTTCTTCAGTTTCACACTCTGGAGAGTTAACGTCTTTTGCCTTTGTATACTCTTCTGAAATCCAAGCAATGTGTCTAGTTAGTTTCAAATCTTGGAAGCCTCTCACATCACAGATTCTAATGGTTGTACAATATCACACGAGTAGATGTGTTTCTTTGTTTTCATACAGCGCTCTCTTTATGAAGCTGCTGATGGATCAGACTGTCACCTTCCTCTCAGTCTCATCTGATAATTAACCAGGTCTGTCAGGGGCCGCTTTAAACAGACCAGTGTAATTGAACGGCCTCATAATGATAATAGATCCATACAGAGACGTGCTGTGTCATAATGTGTGATTGTCCCATTAGCTCGGTGTGTAATTGGTGTCTTAATAACCTGGTGATTATTTCCTCATTAATGTCAGGGCGGTCATGCTTCAGCGTCTGCGGTCATCGCTGGGAGCTGTGGTCAGGTCAGGGTCTGGCTGTTGGAATGAAGTGTGTGTGTAATCCAACAGGAATATCAGCAAACGTTTAACAAGGCAAGGCTTATTTATTCACAGAGCGCTGTTTGAGAAAGGTGGGTGGACATTACAGTACAATAAAGTATAAAGTATCAATTAAAGGGCCCATGTTATGCTGTTTTCTGATCTATATTATAATGTTAGTTTCCTCATCACAAACAGATCTGGACTTGTGTTTTATTTCATTCACACGCACATCCTGCATATCTAAGCAGAGTTCTTCTTTTAAACAGAGAGGACGAGGATTAGACTTGGGGCTAGACTGGGTCTTGTAGGAGTTTTACCGAGAAGGAGGTTCAGGAGAAGACAGGGGGCGCTCTAGGACAGTGGTCCATTTGCTCGTTGGTTGGTTGATCGTCCCGTTGGCTTTTCTTGACCAATGACCGTTTCCTTGTTTGAATCTCTAATGTTTGGTCATTTGAATCAGTTTTTTCCAAACTTTTTTCTCTGGGGACCCATATTTTAAAAGTCACAAACCTTCGTAACCCAAGTCAATAGACATAAATATCACAAAAATCACAAAATAAAGTTGGATTTGAGCATTATTGAACATTAATGAGGATATTTTATTATTGACTGAGTGATAATGTCTCTGAACAATTAGTTTTACTCAAGTTTTACACAATGAAAAACAGTCATTGAAGCAGCAGTAAAAGGATCCATAAGTCTTCTATTTGGACATTAAATGTAGAACATTTCTTTTTCTTTGCAACATTCAACTGAAGCAGCAATATTGGAACAAAACAGTCAATAAAATAATGACAAAAAAGATTATACAAAACATGTCTTAATATTTGAACATTTCTGGTGAGATAGGTGGGTCTGTGTGTGTTTTTGTGGCGTGGTCAGTCCGGGTGCAGGAGGAGACGCAGCTGCAGATCAGGAGCAGCATTCAGTCTGTTTCTGTGCTTTGGCTTTATTTTGTGAGCACAGAAAATCCCAGTTCACATATATATGTAGTAGTAAAAGGAATAAGCACTGGCCCTACTGAGGACAAGAGATTCTGACCAAATGCTGATCCAGAATGATGATAATTATCCACTGACTCCCTCACTCAGAACTGTATATCACAGACCTACATGCAGATCTTGACAAGGCGACCCCCCAAAAAAACCTCTTGCAACCCACCTGAGGGTCATGACCCAGTCTTTGGGAAACAGTGGTTTAAATCAGCAGTTTTGTTAAGTCCTGTGTACTGACTTCTGTTGTGTTCCAATACCGATATCTGATATTTGGCCTGCTGTTGTTGTCAATAACCGATATTCGCTGATACTGATATTTTAGCTTTTAAAATCCAAAGCAAGGCCCACAAATAAAAGTGCACTGTGTAATATTTCTAATGGATCATGTCTCCATGGAAATGTTATTGCTTTGTCTACATGTAGAATTTTCCACAGTATTAATGATGAATAAATGCAGATACATGGATATGTTTAAAGTCGTACCATGAAACATTCCAGGCAAAGCAATTACATCTCCATGGAGACAAGCAAGATGCAAAGCCTCCAACTGGAAAAGTTGCACCATTAAATTGAGGTAACAATCACAAATTCACTTTTCACTTTTGTAAAAAAAAACTAATAACAAATTGTATTATTTGGAATATTAAAGAATTTGTGTAATATTTCGCCATATAACATTCTTCTATCTCATTCCTTATGTCTCTTTAGAGACTGGGGCTGGGGAGGCTGGTACAAATATCACAGATTCATATTGATATTGGCCAGTATTAATACTGGAACTGATATATCATTCATCCTTAACAAAAATGCACTGAATAGAATCCAAAGAGTTTATCTCCTGTGTGTTTGAGCCTGGCTCTCTGCTCTACCCAGGTTTAACTGTCCGACCCCGTACCAGCTGCTGGACTCCTTCCACCTTCAGATCCAGGAGCACGAGGAGGTGATGGGCTCTCTGGTGCAGTCTGCAGGTCTGTTTGAGCTCACTGTCCCTGACTACAGACAGCTCCAGCAGTGCAGGTAAAGCCCACACATGTACCACACTCACACACCATCAAGGCTCTTTTCTGCTCCACTTTGGTGCATTAACGGATCTGTGTGTTCCAAGTGTATTAACTATCACCGCATTTATACTTCCAAATGTTTCTGATGTCAAAGCTGTGTTGTGTTAAACCATCACCAGAGGGCGCTAACAGTCAGTCTGAGAATCAACCAAAAAGGATGAAACAGAGCAACAAATAAACCAATTTCAAGGCATTGACACATCTGTAAAGGCTTAAACTGTCCAGCTGTGTTCACTACTGCCCCCAGAGGTCCACTCATGTACTGCTGGTGCTAAGAGTCTACATTAGGGATGTAACGATATCCAAATCTTACAGTACGATATATTCATGATATGCATCTCACAGTACAATATATATTGCAATATTTTGGAGAAGCTAACAGAATTGTGAATGTGAATCCTTTTCTTTTTTCAAATTCCTTGAAAAGACTTCAGTGTGAATCATTATTGTTATAATCCAAAGAATTAAGTTGCTTAATAACAGCTATTTGTTCATGTAGTCTACAGTGAAATGAAGCAAAGGATCATGGTCCATTTAGTTCCCTCTTTTAAAAATACTTTTCAACTAAGGATCTTGTGATTCAATATATTGTGACAGGCTATGATATTATTGTGAGAGTAGTGGTGATATGATATCATGAAATTCTGGTTATTGTTACATCTCTGCTCCACATGTTCTGAGGAGACGGACCAGATTAGAGACAGAAACACACCGGTGATGGACAAAAGTCTCTATGTGTATCTGTGTGTGTCTAGAATGTAGAGGAGAAATGAGCCTTTAGAAGTTCTGTACACACTCTTCTCCATGTGCTTGTCCTCACTAGGCGAGAGGCTGGTCTCCTCAAAGAACTCTGGGACATGATCAGTGTGGTGGACTCCAGCATAGCAGCGTGGAAGACCACCCCCTGGAGAGACATCCAGGTGGAGGACATGGAGATAGAGTGCAAGCGCTTCTCCAAAGACATCCGTGGCCTGGACAAAGAGGTGAGCATACACACACATAGCTAACCTGCTACACTCCGTCCACTCTGGCTCCTCTGGCTCCTCTGGCTCCTCTGGCTCCTCTGGCTTTCTACTGAAAAACTGTCACTCATTTCTCCAGCCTTGACACTTTGGTCTGAAAATGTTGACTCATTCTACGTGATCCTGGTGTTTCTTCTGCTCTATTTTGTCCATAAATTAAGATATAAGCATTAATAACCAACCAAACAACAGACCAATGAGCTGCCCTCTTTCAACTGTGGAGTAAAGCAGCACGTCTTCCCCTTATGAGATTACTGAAATTTAAAAAAAAAGACAAAAAGCGCAAATATATAAAAACTAGTTCATGGTTCATAATAATTATTTTTGCCAAATGCGATTCTGATAATGTGTTTGTGTGTTTGTGTGTGTTTGTGTGTTTGTGCGTGTGCTTGTGTGTGTGTTTGTGTGTGTAAGGTGCGTTCGTGGGATGCCTTCACGTGTTTGGACAGTGAGGTGAAGAACCTGCTCACGTCTCTGCGCGCTGTGGCCGAGCTGCAGAACCCCGCCCTCCGCCCGCGACACTGGCACCAGCTCATCCAGGCCACCGGGGTGCGCTTCACCATGAACCAGGTCTCACGCTCTTTTCTGCACATTACACACACTTTAATGAAGAGATTGTGCTTGTGTCTGCTATATTGTTATAATCTGGACATTTTAAATTGTAATATTTACCTAAAACAACAAGAGACAAGTCTGCTGACTTCTGTGTTAGAAAACTGTGGTGCCCCACGCAGCTCCTCCTGTAGACAGCTGCACATCACACTAGCAAGTACCGTAAATTCCAGACTATAAGCCTCTACTTTTTTCTCACACTTTGAACCCTGTTCAAAACAATGCAGCTAATATATGGACAGATTCTTTGTTTGGGACATTGTCTATTCATATATACAGTCTATGGTTTGAGAACACAGTGGATACAAACGCTGCTGTCTGTGCTACACAAGCTCACGATATTGTCAGTGCACTCAAATAGTTTATCGCTGTGTGATAACAGGTAGGGCCGGGCATGTTAAGGCATTTATTTTGCATTAACTAATTAATTAATTATCACCAACAATTATTTTAACGCCGTTAACGCAGTTTTTATTATTATTATTATTTTTTAATTGTAAACGTCTGTTTCTCACTGGCTTTTATTTTGAAAAAGTCCACCGTGAGCATTTCTTTCAGTTTAATGTCTTTTCTATACACTTTTTTGACTGGCCTCCGCGGGCCTATCTCCGACCAGGCTGCGAGCTCCGGTTCTTTCTTCTCTTTCTTCCAGATGCTCCTGAAATGTCCAAATCGAGGTGTCTAGTGTGGTTTTCGTCGCTGCGGTCTTGCTTACATAAGGGTATTCACGAAGGCTCAGAAGATTTCATGATATGATTCCACCCATAACTCAGTCACTGATTTACCCAGATACCATTGGAAGAAAAATTGTGATTGGTCCATTTCCAGTCCATTATTTCCCATTCCATCATTTCCATTTCATTATTTCCATCCCTTTGTTTTCCAAGAAATATCAGTTTAAAACGGTGATCTAGAAATGACTACTAGTGTAGTGTTTATTACTCACTGAATAAAAAATATTGAAAAAAACCATATTAGTTGTACAAAAATTCATTCAATATTTTTTCTTGAACCTTCACTGAATACCTTGAAGGCTCTGAGGTTCCCCTGTGAAAGAAATGCTGTTTGCACAACAAATGTATGGCTCTTTCATTTACATTTGCAATAAAAGTGTGCTTTATGCTACTTTTTAATTCATTGAATTGGTTTTGTGTTTAACATGCGATTAATTGCGATTAATCACACTCAAACTCATGCAATTAATATTTTTTTAATTTTGCCCAGCCCTGAAAATAAGTTATGATGCTAAATGAACATTAGTGAGGGGGATACATCTTACCCATGTGCGTAAATGATGAGATGAAACGTCTCAGACTTCAGTAGCTGAACATCCACTCATACATGATTGATAGAACTAGCCCCGCCCCTCGAGAGAGCCTGAAATCTGCTGAAATCCTCCAAGACACTAACATGATACATACAGAACAGAGACTCTTTCTGCAGGAGACATGCGCAGTAGAGCGTGGGGAGAGACGGGCTGATGCGCCGAGGAAGTTTTGAACAGCTATTTTGCGCTTCATACACACACCCTCAGTCAAACATGCATGGATCCTGCTGACTAACACCTGGAGAGAGTAAATGAGAAAGAAAACTAAAACTCTAAAAAGCTGATTTTGCATGTTAGAGCCATTTAAAGATATTCTACATTACAACTTTGAACGAAATGGCCAGACTGTAGTTGTTTGTTGTAGTTGTCTGTGGCTGCAGCCTCTCCGGGCCTGTGCGCTCGCCTCGGAGGAGATCACAGAGGACTTGTTTGTACTTAGCAGCAGCTTCGTTTGTGCAAAATATATTACACAGGCTAAATGACTCTGCTTTTATAGCGTTCGGTGTGAAAACGCTAAATCACAGAACACAGGCGCTAATTAACTCACAAACCCACTTGTTTTGCCGGAGCCTGTCCCCACAGCTGGGAGCGTGTGCAGCAGTGGGGGTGTGTTTGGCCTGGTTAGAGCGCCTCTGATCGATTCTCATTTTAGCGCCGGCTTTAGCTCTGATTGTGTTTAAATCCAAATATAGGCTGCTAAATCACTGCCCTGAAAGCAAGTTAAGAACACACCCAGCAAACTTTCACTCCACAAACACAAAGTTTATATTAAATATTTGAGAGGATAGTGGTCCGTGCTGTCTATTTATTGTGATGTATGAACTGTATAAAATATGATACTTTTGAATAATAATAATCTTTTCAGAGATTTTAACCATGTTACAGCTGCTTCCTCTCCTCACTCACCTTCTGAAGTTCACTGAGGAGTGATCCATGCATATTTGATTAATCTTATGAGCTTATTTTGAAGACGCCAACTTTGACGGACTACAACCCTCATTCCGACATACCAACACTCCGATAGACCCCAATCCCGACATTCCGTCACGCAGACAAACCTCCATTCCGACGCCTTTTATGCTGCCAACATAATGTAAACAACCTACTCATAGTTTGCAGCATCACCTTCTTTACCTTTTATACAACCGTGCCTCTGAACCAGAACTAAAACCAGGACTAAACCAGGACCAAAACCTGGACTAAACCAGAGACTAACACCACAACTAAACCAGGCCTCAAATCAGGACCAAAACCAGGTCTAAACCAGGTCTAAAACCAGGACTAAAACCAGGACCAAAACCAGTTCACAACCAGGTCTAAACTAGGACTAAAACCAGATCTAAACCAGGTCTAAACAAGAACTAAAAACAGGTCTAAACCAGGTCTAAACTAGGACTAAAACCAGATCTAAACCAGGTCTAAACAAGGACTAAAAACAGGTCTAAACCAGGTCTAAACTAGGACTAAAACCAGATCTAAACCAGGTCTAAACAAGGACTAAAAACAGGTCTAAACCAGGTCTAAACTAGGACTAAAACCAGGTCTAAACAAGGTCTAAACCAGGACTAAACCAGGACTAAACCAGGACTAAACCAGGTCTAAACCAGGACTAAACCAGGACTAAACCAGGACCAAAACCAGGTCTAAACAAGGACTAAACCAGGTCTAAACAAGGATTAAACCAGGTCTAACCCAGGACTAAACCAGGACTAAAACCAGGTTTAATCCAGGTCTAAACAAGGTCTAAATTAGGTCTAAACCAGGTCTAAACCAGGTCTAAACAAGATCTAAACCAGGACTCAAGCCAGATCTAAACCAGGACTAAAACCAGGTCTAAACCACATCTAAACCAGGCCTAAACCACATCTCCCCCATACTCCTACATTTGGCAAAAAATGGAAATACAGTATGTGGTATGCAGGAGGTGGTATGTTGGAATGGCAGTTTGGAACCATTTTGCTGATCAGCTCCTGTTTTCACCTCCACCAGCACACGCTCTCTGTGACGTACTAACTTTGTTCTTCAATTTCATTTTCTTAATTGATTATACATGTAGGATTCAACCCTGTCATGTAGTCATTTCGGTTCGAATGAAAAACAAAAACAAAATAAATCTTCTCACTAGTGTGATGTGCAGCTCCACAGGAGGATCTACAGGAGGATCTACAGTGACATCAGCTTCCACTGTACGCCAGTTTCCTAACACAGGAAACACGGCAACAGCCGTTGTTGAGCTGTTCACTTGAAAAGTACCACTACATGACATCAAAAGGTGGAACAGAGCATTTTGAGTTTTGGAGTTGTAGAACATAATGCAGGATTACTCATAAGCGTGAATGAAACAAAACACAACTCCAGCTCTGTTTTTGATCACCATGTTCTCTCAGACAAGATATTTCAAAAGAGATTCATGAAAGATGCATTAGAAATAAGAGTGTGTTTTTTCTCTTCACCCTCTGAGCAGGACACGTGTCTGGCTGACCTGCTGCAGCTGAACCTGCACTGCTTTGAGGACGAGGTGAGGGCCATCGTGGACAGAGCCGTCAAAGAGATGTCCATGGAGAAGGTCCTGACCGAGCTGGACTCCACCTGGACAGGTACCTCCTCCTCCTGCTGCTCCATCTTTTACCCCCAAGTCAAGTTACAATTGAGACAATAACATAAAATAAACTCTTATTTGTCCCACAACAGGAACTGCTAAACTAAAATCCTGTGCATTTCAGAAATATAGTTTTAACCAGAATAAAGGAGCATTTTTTGTAGTACTTTGCATAAGGCATCTTGTTATTTAAATAAAATCAGCCTTTTCATTCAGCTAATTAGATTATTGAAACTGCAATTTCCATTAAATTAAGATTCTTGCCGCCCTATTCTCCTGTGTAAATGGTCACATTTATATAACGCTTTTCTATTTTCAAAAGCACTTAAAGCACTTAACACTACACAAACCACTCACCTAGAGTGACCAAATTTTCAAAATCAAAAACTGGGACACTGCTGGTTTGTGGTGGCTGGTAATAATAAAATTGTGAAACAAATGCATAATTAAAGAAACTGCACTTGGCCCATTCACATGAGTCAGTATAGTCACATTTTCTTTCCGTTTTGGTCATTTTTTAGCAGCTTTTCTGTATTTTACAAAAACAAATGACAATGTATGTCTCTCTTTACTGTTGGCAGGAATCAGATTGGTCAAAAATAGTAAATCAGTTGTGTCCACATGGTGGAACTCAGTGGTGACTCTATTTGTCCCTTGTAGTGTGTGTCTGTGGGTGGAAATCTAGAATATTCATGTATTCTGAGTTCATGACTCCATCCCTGTGTCCCGCTGTAGGCATGCAGTTCCAGTTCGAGCCCCATCCCAGGACCCAAGTCCTTCTGCTGCGGAGTGATGAGGAGCTGATGGAGACCCTGGAGGACAACCAGGTGCAGCTTCAGAACCTGATGAGCTCCAAACACATCGCACACTTCCTGGAGCAGGTGTCATGGTGGCAGAGCCGACTCTCTGTGGCCGACTCAGTCATCTCCATCTGGCTGGAGGTTCAGCGCACGTGGAGCCACCTGGAGAGCATCTTCATGGGCTCAGAGGACATCCGTGCCCAGCTGCCAGAGGTAACACCAGGCTCCAGAAGGGTACAATGAAAATATATTCAGTTACAGAATATAGAATACCTGAATTAAAAGTCCTATATTAAACATAAATTGACTCTTGTGAACTTTAAGGCACGTTAAATTATTCTTACCTCCTCAAGAACATATCTGGAGTTGTGTTTTGTTTCATTCACTCATATGAATAATCCTGCATTATTAGTCTGTCTACACCTTCAAAGCTCAAAATGCTCTGTTCCACCTTGTGATGTCATGTAGTAGTAGTTTTCATTTTATCTTTAGTTGTTTACAAAAAGGTTTGTTTGTGTTACTCTATGATGTATGTATTATCTAATGTAGTTTCCTCATCACAAACAGACCTGGAGTTGGTTTCGTTTCAGTCACACATGTTTAACACACAAACCTGCATGTTAAGACAGAAAAAACTGTTTCACCTTGTGAGTGCTTCACTGTGTTTTTAACCTGTTACCACCCGCCTCATTTTGGTGTGTGCACAATGTTAAGACATACCCAAATGCCATAGCTTATTAAAAGAAAACCTTAGAACCCACATGCTTGTGTGAGGCACCATTTTAAAGCTTAGGCCTTCTAGTTTCTGTAGACATGAAGACTGTGAGTGCTGCCTAACCTACAGTACAGTCAATTAAAAATTGTATTTTTTTGCTTCGAAAAAACAATTGAAAAAAATAAAGGCCTTAGCTTGGTCATACTTCATGCTAGGCATTTGTGACTCACTACACTCATTGTTCAAGTTGTTGGCAACAACTGTGTAGAATTTCAGATCTCTAGGACAAAGGGTTTTGATGCTGAGAGCCTTTGTGTATACAAAATGACAATTCGGCACAAGATTGCCAAATTTGTGCCAAAATAATAATAATAATAATATAATAATAATAATAATAATTGTTATTTTTATAATACTAATTCTTCTGAGCTTTAGGCATGTTTTCTCAAGAAAAAAAACTAAAAGTAGCCAAAATTGTCTTCCAAGTGGCTGTTCTGCACTCCCACACTGCTCTCTGTGTCTCTCTCTGTGTCCCTCTCGGCTGCGCGTATAAACACAGGGTCCGTTTCCAATACAATCTGGATGTCCCACCCACCGTTTGAAAGCTCTGGTGATAGGCTAAAACAATATGTCAATCACTTTCTGGAAGATCCAATGACTGAAGAGATTTCCCGTAAACAAACTGATGACGCGTGCGTAAAGCCAGGAAGTACGTGAGTGCGTTAGCTTCTTCAGCGGCTTATCCCACCTAAACCCCGCCACCGACAACAGCGGGGAGGGTCTCATTTTGAAGCTAAGAGTGTGAGGAAAACAAGCGCACCCAAGAGCGGGAGAGAAAGGGAAGTGAGAGCGGGAGAAGAGGCGGAGAAGAGACATAATATTTTCATTCACGGATTCATCCACTCATACGGACGACGATTTTCTGGATTATTTACCCACATGGAATTATTTTTTGGGAAAAACAACTTGATATTCTTTTTCTGTGGATTATTACGGACTTATTGAGTACAACTTTTCATGGATTGAACGCGTTTTGGACCGACAGAACCGGCTCAAAGGTAAGAAACGCGTATCTTATTCTTTGTTTATGATGTGAATTTTTAAGTTATAGCGTTTTGGGCTCGTTGTACGGCATAAAATGAATGATATGGTTGTTTTATTGATATATTAAGCTTTCAAACGATGTATGGCATGCCAGCAGTGAAAACAATAATGAAGGTGAATATACAGAGGGAACATTTTTTATTGGAAAATCGCCCGCCGGCGGGCGGGTGGATGGTTAGTGGTTTTAAACATCACAAAGTGGAACAGAGCATTTTGGGCTTTGGAGATGTAGACAGCATAAAGGAAACGTATGACTGAAACAAAACACAAATCCAGTTATGGTTAAGGGAACAACATTCTAACGTGGCTTAAAGCTCTCAAGAGTCCATTTAGTCCATTTATATCACATTCAAGTATTGGTTCTATATTATTTGCATAGGTGCGTGAGGAGCACTGGGTGTAGGACTGCCTCACTCAGTGGTCTCCATCCTTTTTCTCCTGATGAGCTACCTTTACAAAAAGAAAACACTCATTTAATGTCACAAGAAATAGAGCACAGGAAAAGTCTTAGATGCAGAACCGTTAGATACTAGGGATGTAATGACATACAAATCCCATGATACAATATTTTTACGATATACATCTCACAGTACGATATTGATTGTGATATGTTGTGGAGTCTAACTGAAATGTGAATATGCTACTTTTTCCTTTTTGGTCCTGTCATAACCCAAAGAACTAAGATTTAAAAGCAGGAGTCACCAAACTTTTTTTCTTTGGGGGCCACATTATGGCTCCTGACTGTGATGGTGGTCGGGGTCAGGTCGGTCGTATAACAGAATTGAACGACCCTGATGACACAGATTATATTCTTTGAAATCTGCACTTTATTTACATATCAGACAAACTGCACTTTCCTTACACTGAACAAAAAAAGAATCGGTCATCCACTGTTCTTTGAAAACTTGGCACTCTCTGTCAACTTTTCGTACTTTAACATGAGTCTTTGCTGTCCTGAACTGCACTGCTGAACTCTGGACGTGCGGTGACTGTTTGATCTTGAGCTTGTCAGGTGACGAAAATTCAGCAGAAAATGTAATGTCATATAATTTAAATATAAATACTTCATACCCATATGGAAAAAGTTTAGACAAATCATACACCATTTTAACATGTTTCATATGGATCCTAAAAGATTTGTATATGACAGTGAAAACACTTAAAAGATCTTTTGTAAATATGTGCAGCATGAAACATATAAAACTTTGTAACCTGCAAGGGCAGAATATAACACTGACCCCACACACAATCTCCTCACAAGTGTTGGACAAAGTTCATTTATTTCATAGAAAAACAAGTGAAATGATGATTGTTTCCTTAAACTTGATTGCTGTGTTGTGTGTGTGTGAGAGTGAGAAAGAAAATTATCACAGTGTGTGTGTGTGTGTGTGTGTGTGTGTGTGTGTGTGTGTGTGTGTTTGTGTGTGGGGGTGCATGTGGGTCTGTGTTTTTGTGTGTGTGTGTGTGTGTGTGTTGGGCAGCATGGGGGTAAACACAGTAAAGCAAATTTTGCATTACAACCTTAAAAACATCTTCCACTGACATCACAGTGAACATACATCAGGCTGTAAAAATATTTTTACTCTACAAAATCCTAATTATATATATAGTCTATATTGACTTGTAATATTCCAAAAAGCAGCTGTACACTTATGTTTTTCTCACATGCCTCAACTGACAAGACGTCATATCAGTTACAAATACCAAGGTACTTGTAATTTTCCTCAATATCTGCTATTGTTCCCTCTGGAGTCAGCAGCTGGTTTGCTCTATTGGTAAGTCACTGGACTTCCACATGGGAGACCTGGGAGACTATATTTTTCATAATATAGTTGTATGAGAAAAATGTAAAATGGGCGACTTTCAGGAGGAAACCACACATGACACATATTAACCTTATATAAAGATTTACTACAAAGACACTGGTAAATTCTTATATTTTTTTTCCATTTTTTTTCCATATGGGTATAAATATATTTTTTTTTAATTGAAAAAAACAACAACAACAACAAAAATAAAATAAAATACAAGATGCAGACATGTCATTTTTGAGGATTGCCTCATAGGCCAGTTCAAGTTGTGGCGGCAGAAGGGTGGGGGCCGGTCAAAGGGTTGGGGGCCGGTCAAAGAGGCGTGGAGGGCCGGAGTCGGCCTGTGGGCCTTAGTTTGATGACCCCTGATCTAAAAGTGTTTAATAACATAATTTCTTCTTGCTTTTGTGCTGAAATGGAGCAAAGCATTATGGTCTATGTTGTTCCCGTGGATTTTAATTTAAGCAGAGCAACAAGTCTCCAATGGCACAGAGACTTGTTGTTTTATATATGTAGTGATGACACACGATATTATTGTGAGACTTTTGACGATACGATATCACGATATTCCGATTATTGTTACATCCCTACTAGATACCTGGGTCAGTCAATATGAAATTCAAGGAATCTCCCCTATGAGCCATCTCAGATTTGGCTGAAAAAAAATTCAAAACATTTCTACTTGGAGCTACTTGGAAGGGGGTACAGATTTCCTGGTAGCTCCTGATCTTCAGGTTCTGGATGCCTGAACTACATCCATCATTATCATAACACAGAGGGCTCCATAACACCTCTGATCTCGAACAGGGCTGAACTCCCCCATCTCAGGAGCTACACAGAGCCAGGCTGGTTAAAGCTCAGTACAAAGTATAGTTCCACATCTGCTTTGCGTGGATAAACTAATGTTAATGGCCATTTTGTGTCTGTCTGAGTCCCTGTGATGATCATATTAAATCATATTCACACACCAGCATTCTAAAATACTTGTAGAACACAGTTTCTTGAAGAATAAAAGGGTGTTTATTCACTGGTTTATTCCTGTCAGCTGGATTTCCTCAGCAGCACTCACCTTATGGGCAGTGTGCTCATAACACCTGTCAATCACTTGAGTCCTCCTCCTGCCCCCAGGACAGAGCCACAAGTCTACACAGAATAAAAAAAAAACAAAAAAAACAGCAAAGAGCAAGAAAGAACACAAGGGGGCAGTGTACACCTGAGGATAAGTGTCACATCAAAGTCTTGAAATATGCTGCCACTATGAGAATAACATTATGACTTTATTTTAGCAGTATTGCACATGTATGTATTCTAGTAGTACTACAACTTTATTCTCCTTAAATTACAATTTTTTATAGCTCTGACTTAAAGTTCATAAAATCGTAACAGGAATGTGCAATACAGGAATGTGCATGTTTTGCACTGTAAAGGCCTTTTCAATAATGTTGAGCCATGTCTGACAAACAGAACAATAATATAATAATAATGTAATAAAGTATTATCAACATAGTCCACTCATTTTCCTGTCCATCTGAGCACTGAGCTGATGTACATGATTCTTCTCTCATTCATTATATTGTGTTTTAAATGGACAGAAGTGCAGACAGTGTTTTATCTCTTCCATAGGATTCATTTAGAAAAGTGTGTATAGTGAGAGCAAAGTGTCCTGAGGTAGACACAAGAGGGCGCTCACGTAAATCCACATTATAAACATTCATATTGTGCAGGTCCAACACAGTCCAACACAATGTGCAGCATCTTCATCCTTTAACAATCATCTGGCACAGGTCTGTGTCACATGTTCACACCACAGTGACTCTGATGGTGAAGCAGAGGCTCATACACATGCAGACCCTCTCCTGCCCCACTCCACTGTCGTAGCTCTTAATTAAGAATGTATTAAGAGTCTCACACAGAGTTTAGGCTGAGCTCTGACACATTTTAATTGCTCCCATGACGTGTGCTTAAAGCCAGATGTTGGATGCTAGCTCTGGTTCTTGGCCTCTCTGCACTAACATAAATTCCGTGTAACATAAAGGCTGAGATCCTTGTGAAACCTTCCACAGGACTCAAGGCGCTTTGAGGGGATTGATGTGGATTTCAAAGAGCTGGCAAACACCATGCATCAAACACCCAACGTCGTGGAGGCCACCAATAAAGAGGGTCTGTTTGGCAAACTGGAGGACATCCAGAGCAGGTGAGTCATCTCCAGGCTGTAGCTCATAATGAAGCACTCTCACTCACTCGTGTGTGTGTGTATGTGTGTGTGTCTGCAGGCTGGCCCTCTGTGAGAAGGCTCTGGCAGAGTACCTGGACACCAAGCGCTTGGCCTTCCCCAGGTTTTATTTCATCTCGTCGGCTGATCTGCTGGACATCCTGTCCAATGGGACCAACCCACAGCAGGTGCTTCACTGGAGCCTGGGGCCAGTCTCAGAGTGATGGCTCTGATACACTGTAGTGTGTTTGTAGCACTTAATGAGAGCTGCTCTGAGCACACGCTTGTGTCTCTGCAGCCTCCAACCTACTGTAGTACTTGCAGTGTCCTCACAGGGGTACTGTTGCTCATGATTTCAGCCTCTTCCTCCCACCTCTGTCAGCAACAGTCTCTCTAATGCATTTTCACAATGCACAAATAAATCATTTTTAGCTAAACTTGCCACTAAATCTCTGTAAGAAGTACCTACTGCTGAACACATCTGGCCTTCTATTAATTTCAGCGACGAGCTAAAACGAAACACTGTGGAAACACCAGGGCAATAGAACCTACACCCTGCCCACAATGTGTGTGTGTGTGCGCAGGTCCAGAAGCACCTGTCCAAGCTCTTTGACAACATCGCCAAGATGGAGTTTGAAGTGGACGAGCAGGGCAGCCCCTCAAAGAGAGCACTGGGCATGTTCAGCAAAGAGGGCGAGTACGTGCCCTTTAAGCAGCCCTGTGACTGCACTGGACAGGTACCAGCACCACCACAAACTCTGCAGATTAGTCATTCTGAACATTTCTAATGAACTTGATCATATCTGAGGGGGCGAGATGAGGAGCCCACCTGCTGAGCCTGAAATAGAGATATGACACGTTACAATAACCACACAAATGGAATTGGCTCCGCTCTTGCCCTGGGGATTTTACATATCAAAGCTGCAAAGCCATTAATTTTCCATTACATCCCATAGTATTTGCCTGATCCCGCTCTAATGCTTATTAATTCAATGAGTTTATTCATCAGTCTCCACATGTAACTATAGGGCCACAATAACCTTCAGAGGCACTGCAGCCTGCCCAGGTGGAAAACAAGCCAGTCTGCATGCTCACATCACAAGACTCAACACTAAACATGTCCTGAACATGTCACTGCCCGTTGTAATGTGTTAACTGCTGCTGCTAACACACGCACACACACACGCACACCCCCCCCCACACACACACACATACACACAAAACAACAGCACTTCTTGTTTTTGTTTTTTCTGTGATGTCAAAGCCTAAAACAGAACTAGCTGATCTGAAACAGTTTGCAGTGCGTCAATGTTAGTCACTTACCTTGTGCATTCTGAGCATCCTAATTATTCATCACTGGAGTTTATAAGCACGTTCACAGCTCTGGTGCGCCGTGCTTTCTAATTAGATGCAGACAGTACACAGTGGACTTATTTTGACCACAAGCGCTGCTTATACAATATATCTGTACTGGGGCAAATATATGGGAAAGAATCAGGCTGGTACAAGCAACTTAAGCATTATGTAACTGTACATTGTCCTGTACAATGTTTAACATTAAATTAAAACGTAATGATCTCATCAGAGGTCACTGATAAGACTGTGGTTGTGTGAGAGATGTCTAAGCGTCTGCCTCTTTGGTGTATCTGCTGTGTTCTTTGAGGTGGAAGTGTGGCTCAACACTGTGCTGGAGACCATGAGGTCCACTGTGAGACACCAGATGACAGAGGCAGTGACGGCCTATGAGGACAAACCACGGGAGCAGTGGCTGTTCGACTACCCCGCCCAGGTAACGCCACATCTGCATTCTAACATCATCTCCACTAGGGCTCAGCAATTTGGGGAGAAAATATTTGATTGTGATGAACTCTGTAGCGTAATGTTAACAAATGTTAGCAAAAAGCCCAGGAGTCATGCTACTGAGCGGTCAGGAAAGGTCATATTGTGTCCTATTTGTCAGTGTGATATCTGTGGCCAAACTTGCTCAATGCCTCACCTCAGAAGCCAAGCAAAGCCGAGCCTGGTTAGTGTTTGGGTGGGAGACTGCTTTGTCCTTAGGCAAGGCACTTCACCACATTGCCTGTGGTGGTGTGTGTCTTACTGTTGTTGGTGGTCACAAGGACCAATGGCACAATTCCAGTCTCTGCACCACCAGTGCACCGGAGCTTCTACTACCACCATGAAAAGCAAGCAGCTCAAGGTGTTTACATGGATTAGGGATTGTCATAAATCTCCTGATTTTGGAGTCCTGGAGGAGCCAGTATCCACATAATGAGAAGGCAGGATACTCTCACTGGAATAATCATGTAAACAGCATCCTGATTTCTCTCCACTGGAACACACTGAGCATGTGCAAACTGACAAAACAAATATGGTAAGAAGAGTAACTTTCCCAAAGGACTGTACCTTCTGCCTCTGCTTTTTATACCATATTATTTTATAATGATACAGAAAATACAGCAGTACTATACAGCCACTTTAAACACCATGTTAAAATGATCTGCAGGGCGGGGGTGAGGTGGGGGGGTTGGATCATAGATGCTGTGTAGATGGGTATAGATGGACAGTCTGCTAGCCACTGCACTCTGAATAGGAAATGAGCATGGTTGTAAAGTTGCTCCAACTGACTTCTATTGAAAAATGGTCCCTCCCTCTGTAACAGCTGCTGCTGTTAAAATGTTTGTTTTAACCCACTCTAAATGATTCATATATCAAGATATGAAGAGCACTAACAGAGCAGCCAGGTGCCTTCTTTCCCTAAGATTGACTCACTTTTGCATTCTTGCAGGGAAGGGGCAAATACCTGCTACACCTCACTTCATCTTAGTTACATCTATTATCTTAGATACAGAGTATAGAGTCCTGCATGCTGCTGTCACTGCTGATGCCCATTATTAACGAAAGAGATTTATTTTATTTTTTTTTTAAACCTCTGCTATATGCTCATGGAACCTTAACAGTGACTTTGGGCACATCATGTGGCAGAGCAGAGCCAAACGAACTAACTTGTTTACATATGATAAGTACTTAAATTCTGTAGGCTTCTTGTCTTTTTACAGACTTTAAACATAAATAATATGATGAAAAAACACTTCCTTTAGAAAGGGGTTAAAACATCATCTAATCTCACTGTGTTGTGAAGCTGTTGTACAGTGGAGGACATTAAGACATTGTTTTAGGCTATTTTTAATTAAACCTGGTTATGAGTTTATTCAACTAGAGCTAAATTCACCCAGGGAATACTTCATGATTTATAAAACCACATGCTTGTGCAAATAAAATTATTCAAAATGAAAAGATTGATACCGGGATGAGATCAGTATCGGCAGTTGCAAATATTAAATAAATTGGATCGGGAGTCAAAAGAACAGGATTGGGACTTCCCTTGTATGAAGCAATAAACAAATTCATTTAAATGAGGTCTGCTAAACAAATGAACAGTATTTGAACCATTATGTGTATGTGTATTTATGTGTATTTGAACTAAAGATTGCCATAAGAGCGTCTAAATGTGGTCCAGATCCGTTACATAATGAGCCTGGCATGTGTCCGGGTCCTGTGCTGAGGCCCTGCCAGACCCAGGCTTTATGCTTGCATCACAATATGATTTTTGTCACTAATTAGTCACAATTAGTCATGAATCTGTTGTTGCACCAAACACATTTCCCAGCCTTTGTTTGCTGCAGTAATCCTGTCACGTCCTGTTTCAGAAGCAGAGCACATTTCACGTCTGCCTGTCATGCATTTTACTGCACTCACTGTCTGATCAGATGTACTCTGGGCCATTTTAAAGGCGCTGATCAGACAAGCAGAACTAGTTCATTTAAAGGGCATTGGATAGACTCATAGATTTTTGGAATTATTATTTAGTTTAGTGGGATCATACCGTAGATATAAATTTTACATCAGTTTAGTAGCAGGATGTCTGGGCCTGTCCTGTGGGCTCATGGTGGGGGGCTGGTGCTTGGGCCTCATCTCTCCCCTGGGCCCTGTGGTGGTTCCTGGTGGTGGCGGGTGGGTCTCTTCTCCCAGTGTAGACGGCATCCCAGCCACTTCACACTCGACTGCATGTGCCGGTGCAGGTCCTGGTTCATCATCTGCAAACAACAGAGATGAGATACTGCACAAGGTCCCCAAACTGGACCCCCTCCGGCCCCTGAATGTGCCGGGCAGTCCTTAGCCAAATGCTCTGAGCTCCACACTCCCAGACATGTCAACCAAGACAATCCCACAACATCCAGACTTAAGACTTAATACTCAGGACAGATCTCATAAACCCCCGGAGCCTTATCACTGAAGATCTTGCCAACTGCCTCAGTGACTGGATTATGGAGATCCTCAAAGTCTTCCTTCCACCTTCTGATCACCTGTACTGTAAAGTGAAACTCTTCTCTCCCTCCGAACTCCTTCCAACCTTGAGCTTTTGCCTCTGTGACTAAACGAGCAGTGACACACTTGGACTGTCGGCAACTTTCAGCTGCTTCAGGAGGGCCACAGCAAGGTTCAATAGAACTTGATAGCATTCCTTACTTCTGGTGGAGTTGGGGCCATGACCACAGCTACAAACAGCCACATCGACAAAGGATGCTGAGAACATCAGAGTCCATATTTCCAACTGAGCAAGATGTTCCCAACAGACCCTCAAGAGCCTGGCCTTTCCGACTTCCTCCCCTGCCAATGGATCCAACTCACCAGCAGGTGGTGCTCTAGAGCTCTACCCTGCTCTTCACCTGAGTGCCCAAGACATGTGGGTGAAAGTGAGAAATTCACACTTTATTTAGTTAAATTACTTGTCCTATTCCCTCAAGTGTATTTGTGTTATGTTAAGGGGGTTGTTTTAATTTAAAGTATATTTACCACCACTGTGTTTCTCACTGATTCATTTGTTGTTTTTGTAGAATAAACATTACTCCAGAGCTCAACCTGCTCCACTCCTTCCAGCCCATTCTCTTCAGTCTCAGTAAAGACATGAACTGGACTCTTTTGTGTTATTCATTACATAGAATCTTCTGTTCCCTGGAATCAATAACAATTAACTATGGTCAATATGTTTCAGCAGTACTATAATGGACACACCATGTCACAATCTGTGAAGGGTCACTGGTTCAAGACCACACACTGGCACTTTGAAATAGCCTCTGTATGTGGGCCAGGCCTATTTTAATATTTGGAGGGTGGGCCATGGGTCGGATTAGATTGTTGGGAGAATCTGATCTGGCCTAATATAGAGATAAATTTCTTAATAATAGAAACAGCTCTACTGACTTCCTGTTAAAAACTGCAGACCTGAGAAGGTTCTTCATTGTGACATTTTTATATAACACTTTGAATAGTCGTAACAGAACTCTTTCTGAGCACTAATGCCTCCAGCGTAGTACAATGTGTAATTACTCAAACATGCATCCATCAGTCGCAATACAACTTCAAGCTCATTCACAAGTTGATTTTACATCATTTATTTGAAATATTTTATGCTGTGTTTTGTTATATACTAGTATATGGGGGAGTGGATGGTTTTCTGCTTAGGTGAAAATATGTGTTGCTCACACAGTCTGGAAACAATATAAATGTTCTAGCCCATTTGTTTTAATAAGCAAGGAAAATAAAGTGTCATTTTGTCTTTTGTAGGTCGTGCAGAAAAACACTGTTACTTTTGAGAAAGTGTAACACGGCAGTATCTAACTTCTAGCTCCATTTTCTAAAGTTCACTAGTTTACAGAGATTTTATGGGGCTTGAAATGGTCATACTTTTCACATACACATTTCCAGCATAATATTACCATTATATTTGAAAGAAATGTTAACAGTCTCATTGGCTACATAGGAAAGTTTGTCTCCAAATTATTGGTGTTTCATGTTTGGGACGCATGGGAGGTTTGGTGGCTAACCCAACTCTCCAGCTGTAAATGTCGTGGGACCAGAAGGTGTGACGCAGAAGCATCCTAGAATGCAGGCATCTGTTTGCCAACAGGACGGTCTACAAAGGTCATATAGATGATTGTTCTACTGCTGTTTTGAAGTTCTTGTTTTAGATGTCAGGTTTGAACTAAATATTTAGCAGAGTTGTAGACTTTTATCTTTGTTATGAAGCTGTAGCTGCTCTGTGTTTTGAGCCTATACAGATGAAAATAAACCTGCTCCCGCCAGACTGATATGTGCAGCCATCTGAACAGAGCAGCACACTTCAGTCTGGGATGGCTCTCATTGTAAGGGATCAGGGCCAATGATCAGAACATTCAAAACATATCCTTCACGTTGATTGGTTGAAGCAAAACAAGTAGAGAAATCAAACTTTAATTAAATCCAGTTGAGAGAAAAGCACAAACATCGTACCTGTTCACAAATGCACAACATGCTTCCCTCTTCATGTTTTTCACAAACTAAAGAGTCTGTGTGTCTGCTAAAATAGGCTGTCTGCTAAAATTGGCTGTCTACTAAAATAGGCTGTCTGCCGGCATCGTCATGTTTGTTTTGGTTTGTCTGGTGCTGGTTTCCACCCAACCCACAATGCTGCACTGGTCAGTATCCACACCACTGGACCTATCACAACGCTTCAGCTGGAGCCAAACAAGATGATTCTCCAGAGTTTATGAGCTCACAAAAGTTCATCTTGCTGGCAAAGCTAGAAGAAAATGTAATTCTTCACCTTTCTAAACATTGGAATGTTGTGAGCTGCAGCGAGTCATTGACATTATCGATGAAGTCGACTAGGAACATACAGTGACGCATGTGGAGCCCGTCTCCTAATTAAAAAAAAAATTAAAAATAATTAACAGGACAAGTGAATGTAACATCTCCCTCTGCTCTGACCCTAGGTGGCGCTGACGGGCACTCAGATCTGGTGGGCGTCGGATGTGGGCATCGCGTTCGCCCGTCTGGAGGAGGGCTACGACAGCTCTCTGAAGGAGTACCACAAGAAGCAAGTGACCCAGCTCAACACACTCATCTCCCTGCTCATCGGACAGCTCTCCCCTGGAGACCGACAGAAGGTCATGACCATCTGCACCATCGACGTCCACGCCCGAGATGTGGTCGCTAAGATGGTGGCTCAGAAGGTGAGTTGCCATTATATTTGGGGGGATTTCATTTCACAACAATCATACAACATCCAGCATACAACAATCAAGTTAAAACCAAGAATAAGTACTGAGTCAGTCAGTCAGTTTTAGTACCATCTGTTAAAAATACATTTTCCTCTATGTCAGTAGACTCTGATATTTCTGGTAACGTATCATACATTCATGTCACATCATTATGCTGACGTGCTGTTTGGCGTGGAGTTTCATAAGAACCTATTAGCAGTGACTAATGCGCTGCATGTGTTCAGGTTGTGTGTGTCACCTGCATACTTAGCAGCAGGTTGGACTGTGTGGATCTGATGCAGGCTGTGTTCCAGGTGGAGAACTCCCAGGCCTTTGTGTGGCTCTCCCAGCTCCGGCACCGCTGGGACGACACAGACAAACACTGTTTTGCCAACATCTGTGACGCACAGTTCCTCTACTGCTATGAATACCTGGGCAACACACCACGCTTAGTCATCACTCCTCTCACCGACAGGTACAGTGCTCCTGACTCACCGACAGGTACATGCTCCTGACACATCGACAGGTACATGCTCCTGACACACCGACAGGTACATGCTCCTGACACACCGACAGGTACAGTGCTCCTGACACACCGACAGGTGCAGTGCTCCTGACTCACAGACAGGTGCAGTGCTCCTGACACACCGACAGGTACAGTGCTCCTGACACACCGACAGGTACACGCTTCTCACTCACAGACAGGTGCATTGCTCCTGACTCACAGACAGGTGCAGTTCTCCCGACTCACAGACAGGTGCAGTTCTCCCGACTCACAGACAGGTGCAGTTCTCCTGACTCACAGACAGGTGCAGTTGTCTTGACTCACAGACAGGTGCAGTTGTCTTGACTCACAGACAGGTGCAGTTCTCCTGACTCACAGACAGGTGCAGTTCTCCTGACTCACAGACAGGTGCAGTTCTCCTGACTCACAGACAGGTGCAGTTCTCCTGACTCACAGACAGGTGCAGTTGTCTTGACTCACAGACAGGTGCAGTTCTCCTGACTCACAGACAGGTGCAGTTCTCTTGACTCACAGACAGGTGCAGTGCTTTGTACTCATTCGTGCTGTCTTCTGGGGGAACTTCAGACACAAACTGTCTCCTGAGAAGTTTGTATCTGATGTTTTTATCAAATTTTTCTAGGGTTTAGTACTTTATTTTGCGTTTTTAAGAGTAAAAATATTTTCAGATTTCACGGTGCTCTAAGGCCCCATCCACACTAGTACATATTCGAGTAGTTTTCATTGTGGATACAGTGTGCATTCACACTAATCCGATGGAAAATGGCTTCAGAGGTGGAATGATCTGGTGCCTCCAGCTCCCACGAATTCATCTGAGTACAGATCTGATCCGGCACCATGTGGAATGAACCTTTCCTGAAAAGGCTGATGTAGGTCTATGCGCTGCGAAGTAATTCACCGCTAAGAGGCTGTTCATTCATATAAACGTGTGTCTGTGTATACGACCTGCAGACGTATAATCTGTGAAAAGTTTCACATGAACCATCTCCAACGTGATGGAAACACAGAACAGACTCACCATCAGCAGAACACCCCTCTGTCACAGAAAGAACACTCATATTCCACTGAGTCGTGTCCTTTAGTCTGACAGAAGCTGAACTACATCAGCGCACAATAAAAGCACTTGAGCACTTAGTTTATGCAAATGAGTCATGTGGTTTTAAGTTTTGTTTCTGTAAAACGTAAACAAATATGCTCAAAGCTGTGTGGATAGGGAAGAATTGCAGACACACAAACGACGTGTCTGGATGCAGATTGTTTCCGATATGGTGATACGGTGATTCGTTTCAGTGTAAACATAGCCTATGAGGGATCAGAACTTTAAAAAACATGTATTAGTTCCATGGTATTGGTTAAGCCAATATCCTGGTTGAGCCTTTAACTTAAACAAATCGGGGCGGTGCGTAACTTGGCAAATAATACATTTTGTATTATACACTGTATCGCTACAGAAAAGTATAACGATAAACAATAATATCGAAACTACTCGACTGACACCAAATGAATAATGCAGGATTATCCACTTTTTAAATGGCTGTCATTTAAAAGGCCTGAGCTGCAACAAATCAACAGACAGATTAGCCACAAAAGTGATTTATTCAACCTTCCACAGCTCAAATTTTATATTATAACTAAAATGACAAAAATGCTTTCATTATTACAAATAAAATATGCACACAGTAAGTATTGAGTCCCAAAAATATATTGTTCCAGCTGTCACATATTGAACTATATGGCTACGTTCAGACTGCAGGGCTTAATGCTCAATTCAAATTTTTTGTGTGAAATTCAGTGTTTTTGCGAGGTCGTTTAAATTTCTAATTAAATGCGATTTGTATGTGATCTCCAGTGTGAACATTAAAAGTGTCCCGCACGTGCACTGGAGACACGACAACGTCAACCGCAGCAAGCGTGCTCTGTGTTTACAGAAGTTCCTCTCGTACCGGAGCCAGAACATGAACAACTTACTTGTTTTAAGGGGGAGATTGAGAAGGAGAAGGACGAGGTTTTTGGCCATGGTGTTTTGTGGGACAGTCTGTTGAAAGGAACGTGTGGATGTGGAGATGTAGCCAAGAGTGGTGGGAGAGAGATGTGCTTCACTTCAGTGATACGGAGTTCATTAAGAATTTTCGTGTGACTAGAAGAATGTTTGTGTACATTTGTGGCTTGTTGATAACGTGTAGGTGGATGAATGTGCTTTGGCTGTTCAGACTGAAGTCACATGTCAAAAGATCAGATATGTATGGGTTTCAGGAGCACATATCCAAGTGTCCTGAGTCACATTTGAAAAAATCGGATCTGTGTCGTTCAGACTGTCATTAAAAGATCAGATACAGGAACATGGGGCCAAAATATCGGATTTGGGTCACTTCAGGCTGCAGTGTGGCCGTAGCCCAAGTCAGGCCAATGCGTTACAGTGTTAAACAGAGTACCACACTGCTCAGAGTTGTATAATCCGTTTATACCACGGTCCCAAATGAAGGGAGTTCACTTTTAAATCTGACACCCATGTCTAAGGAGGTTCAAAGCATTAGTTATTTCTGTTTTAGCTGAAGCTAGTCCCTTCTAATCGTAGTTAATTTCTTTACCCGTTGCTATGGTGATGATCTCAGCGTAGTGATATAGAACTGTGATTAACCGCTGCCAGATCTGTCTGTGTGGTTAGACAAAAAGAATGTAGAGCAGTTTTAATAAGATGTAATGAGATTGGTTACAGGCTGGTTTTGGCCTTGAACATATCATAATGTTTGAACTTGTATTCATCCAGAGTTGTTGTGTAGTTGTTTGGAGGATAAATAACAGTTACATAACACTCTTCGATCTCTAAAGTAATACGTTAACTGTGTTTTAAGGAAGTAAATGCCTTTTTCCACTGGTATAAACTTTATCGATCCACAAGGGAAATAAGTTTGAATTGTTGTACAGCTGTATGGAGTGTAATATACATATTGTCCTGTAATTTTCACAACCCCCGGGCCGTGGACCGGTACTGGGCCGTGGGTTGTTTGGTACTGGGCTCCAAAAGCACAAACCCCTGCGCCTCCTCCCATACACCGTGTGGATCTTCTTGTGTATGCCTCTAAACTAATACTAAAACCAGGACGAAACCAGAACTAAAACCAGGACTAAAACCAGAACTAAAACCAGGACTAAACCAGAACTAAAACCAGAACTAAACCAGGACTAAAACCAGAACTAAATCAGAACTAAACCAGAACTAAAACCAGGACTAAACCAGAACTAAAACCAGAACTAAACCAGGACTAAAACCAGGACTAAACCAGAACTAAAACCAGGACTAAACCAGAACTAAAACCAGAACTAAACCAGGACTAAAACCAGAACTAAACCAGAACTAAACCAGGACTAAAACCAGAACTATACCAGAACTAAACCAGGACTAAAACCAGGACTAAACCAGAACTAAAACCAGAACTAAAACCAGGACTAAACCAGGACTGAACCAGAACTAAAACCAGAACTAAAACCAGAACTAAAACCAGGACTTAAACCAGAACTAAAACCAGGACTAAAAGAGGACTAAAACAGAACTAAACCAGAACTAAAATCAGGACTAAAACCAGGACTGAAACAGAAGTAAAACAAGGACTAAAAGAGGACCAAAACAGAACTAAACCAGGACTAAAACCAGGAGTAAACCAGGACTAAAACCAGGAGTAAACCAGGACTAAAACCAGGACTAAAACCAAGACTAAAACCAGGAGTAAACCAAGACTAAAACAAGGACTAAACCAGGACTAAACCAGAACTAAAACTAGAACTAAACCAGAACTAAACCAGGACTAAACCAGAATTAAAACCAGGACTAAAACCAGGAGTAAACCAAAACTAAAACCAAGACTAAAACCACAACTAAACCAGAACTAATACAGGACTAAATCAGGACTAAATCAGGACTAAATCCGGACTAAACCAGGACTAAACCAGAAGTAAACCAGGACTAAAGCCTGCTTTAAAGTATTGAAAATCAGACACTAATCGATACTAAAACTTGAGCAGGTATCGATACTAAAACGTCACGTTCACAGGACAGAAATGAACCTTTCCTGTATCAGAACAAGTATATCACTAGTAGTATAAGCCCATGGACCACTATGGAACCTACCTGGATCGGGTAATACTGGGTATTGACAGATACTTTTAGAACTGATATCGAGAAAAAAAAAAAAAAGAAGCTGTATCAGTGCATCCTTCACTTAAACAGTTATTATGCTATTACATTTATCACAGCATTGTGGTTCATGGGTTCATGGGCTTAAAAATATCTGAAAACCTGCTTTTTTACTGTGAGCAGGGTCATCTCTCCTCAAACATGAGCTGTATAAAGATGTAGACTAAGAGAGTGTGACATCACCCACAGCATTCTGATCCAGACACATGAAGAAGATGGAAGTTAGAGGAGTGAATGTGGAGCCCAGTTCCATATTTGTAATAGTATCCATGGACAAAAGCTCATATAATGGATCATATATGAACATTTTAAGACCAAAATGAGCAGTCAGAGGGAGAGGGGTGGCAATCAATGTAAAGTGAATGTGGAGCTGGAAGTGCTTCCTGTTTGCAACACAGTGACTAGTGGGTTAGGTATGTCCATGTATATCCAGTGTGTGTTTTCAAGTCCAAAAGTACCTGTTCCATCCGAGATCCTCTGCTGCTGTACAGAGTGAGTCGTGTAGAGCAGTGACAGGAGCAGAGCCTGCGCTGTGTCTGAGCTGCTGATAAGCCCGCTGCCTCAGCCTGTAGATAACACACTGACCACAGGCGTTTGAAGCCAGTACAAAGCACAAACAATGAGCGGTGATGGGCGGGCGGTCAGGCGGGCAGCAGTCCTCCATATGGCCTCCACGTCGACTCTGGCTGCAGACAACGGCTTTCAGCGCAGCCAAAGAGCCGGGGATCCAGGCCTCTGATCCAGCCCCGACTGGTGGAAA